CTTTTCTGTTCAGAGAGTTGTTGCTATTCTTTTCTTCGATCTCCTGTTGAGTTCGTAGGTGTTCAGAATGGTTTGATCCCTATCCAGCTGAATTCCTGATACCAAATGAAATCCAGGTCTCCTACTCCTCCACCATCTTGCTCCGACCCCCGAGCACAGAGGATTTTTATGGCAGTGAAACTATTCTGTATTCTGTATAAAGTGCTGTATAAAGTGCTAAAGAGGGGATGTATAGGTAGAGCCAGAGGATTTTTATGGCAGTGAAACGATTCTGTATTCTGTATGGCAGTGAAACTATTCTGTACACTTTATGGCAGATACATGTCAGTATATATCTGTCCAAACCCATAGAATGTACAATACAAAGAGTGAGCCTTAATGTAAACCATGGACTTTAGATAATGATGATGATAATAATAATAATAAATGTATTGATATTGACTCATCAATTGTAATAAACATCCTACACTGATGCAAGATATTAATAACAGGAGAAACTGGGGGATTGGTGAGGGACACATGAGAACTCTGTATTTTCCACTCAGTTTTTCTTAAATTGAAAACTACTCAAAAAAATAAAGTCTAGTAATTAAAAAGAAAGAAAAAAAGAAAAAGAAAACTGGGCAAGGTCAGGCATCAGCCTGCAGCCACAGCCAATGCCCAGACCCACACCTTGTTGAAGAGCTCGTTGTGCAATGCTGTGGATGCTTCCCTCGTGATCTTGGTGAAAGCCCCCGAGGAGCAAACACCCGTGAAGATTAGAAGCAGGACACTGAGGCCGTACACCAGTTGGTAATACAACAGCTGAGGGTTGTTCAGTATGTCTCCTGGGTCTGCAGTAGTTCCATTGCTCTCTTGGCTGCTATTGGTCTTCAAGAAAGAACAGAGAGGATGATTTGATAAGAAATATAGTTGGTCGTGTTCCCAGTTCCTGGCACAGAGCTCCTAAAATCCCTGTAATTTCCTAAGTGATAGGGAGCATCTTTTGTTCTAGTATTTGGCCTCTGACTCTGGCTCCTGACATGAGTTTCTAAGACCGTTGGAGTCTCTGGAGCAATTAGAGTGTCTTTTTGTAGCTAGAGGGATGGCTGGTGAAGGAAAGGGGGCTAGACAGCTTCAGGATGGAGAACTGGTCATCAGAAGGACCAAACCATGAGTAGGAGATTGGAACTTTCAACCCCCCCCCATCCTCTGTGTGGGGAGAGGAGCTGGAGGTTGAATTAATAATTGATCATGCCTGTGGGATGAAACCACCATAAAAATCCCCAAAGCATGGGGTTCAGAAAGCTTCTGGGTTGATGAACACATCCACAGAGACAGAAGCTCCTGCGCCCAGAGGCCTTCTAGATCTCACCCTATGTACTGCTTCATCTGGCCTTTCATCTGTATCCTTTATTATATCCCTTCTAATAAACTGGTGAAAGTATTCCCTGAGTTCTGTGAGCCATTCTAGCAAATGATCAGATCCAAAAAGGGGGTCATGGGAACCCCCAACTGATAGCCGGTCCCCCGGAAGCATAGGAGGTCCAGACTTGTGATTGGCCTCTGAAGCACGGACAGTCTTGTGGGACTGAGCCCTTAACCTGGGGAGTCTGTACTAACTCCAGGTAGTGCCAGAACTGAAGGGAATTGTAGGACACACATGGTGTCGGGAGTTAGAGAATTGGTTAATTTGGGGAAAAACCTGCATATTTGTTATCAGAAGCATTGTGTAGGAATAGAGGAAAACAGTGAGTTTTCCTTTTTTGGGGAGTCAGGTCACCTGAATTCATGGAGAAATTCAATGGGGAGAGAAAATCCTTCTTCCCAGGACCACATTTAGACTCAGTAGCTGGTATGGGATGAAACTATACATGGAAACCTTCCTGCTTGGTGCTTTTGCTTTTCCCTTCCTCTTCCTCTTCACTGCCCTCCCCTGGATTAGGCCCTCATTGTCTGTCTGTCGTGGACCACTATAGCAGCAGGCAAACTAGTCTGTCTCCTGACTCCAGCTCTTCCCTCCACGCACCACCCACTCTACTCTGATTGTTCTAAACTCAGCTCCCCGAGTGACTTCTCTTCATCCCTCTCTCAATGCCTTGTTCCAAGGCAGTCTGATTTCTAATGAGGCCTATTTTCTTCTGCCAGGATAGAAAATGGCTTGATAAATTCACTCTATGGTGTTAGAAATTTGTGCGAGATTATCACCTAGCATCATCCCTGGTGCTTCTACATTCTTCACTGTGATGCAAGGAAGAGCTTGGGAACTCAGTTCCCCAGACTCCCGCCAGCATGGTCTCGGGTTAGATTCTGCCAAAGAGAGGCAGTCATAGGAAATCTCAAAGCTGAAAGAGAAGAAACCATCACACGCTGGTGGAAATTGTGAACATGTGGGTGGGATGTGGAGTTTGGCCAGTGGCTTGCAGGCTTTCTTCTGAGAATCAGCCACTTTAGTGCTGCCCGCTGCTGAGGTCACTGGAGCCCTTCCAATGATTGTGTGGTCTCTAATTCCTATATTAAATCTGTGGAAGCTCTAAATACTTCAAGTGGCTTCTGTTTTCCTGAGCAAACCCTGCCTGACACATGATTCAGAAGTTAACCAAATAGACATCTAGGCAACCATGGCTTGGAATCAGAGCACCAGTTCAAGTCCCGGCGGGGGACTTCACATCCCAGGGCAGGTTCTTTTTCCTCTCTAAGCACAGTTTCTTCTGTAAAATGGAGACAATGCCTACCTCGAAACGTGGTTGGGAAGATTAATGAATTAACCGGGCACATAATGGCTGAGAACTGCAGGTTTCTCAACACAGAACAACTCCATCCAAACCCCTGCACTAAAAAACTTAATCAAACTTCAGCATGGGCTTGTAGTGGCTCAAGGCATGCCCCTGCCCCCCATCAAAACTCCTGCCTAAGGAGGCTCAACCATCACCAGGAAAAGTTACCATTTGTTGTAGCCAACACCTGATGGCATGCCCCAAACCTCCCTTTCTCAGAGCACTTACTAAAAAGCACTCATAACTAGAAATATATAGCTCCTACAACTCAAAGCACCTCTCCCAAGGACCTGGGAACCATGCCTTTGAAATGTCTCCCAATCTCTGTGGAAGATATAGAGTCCTAACTTTAATAACTGCCAGTGAGCGGACACAGCTGACCTCAACACATTCACACCCTCCACCCCTTGGTAAATTTTACTCCTCTAAATCTACTGAACCCCCGTATTCATTCCCCTTTAAAATGTCAAAATCACCTGTGCACAAATCTCAGCTCTTTCCCCTGACGACAGTAGTGACTGAGTAAAATGTGTTTTCCCTGCTTTCACTAATATCAGCTGTGCTTATATTTCATGTGGCCTCCCCGCCTCCAACAAAGGGTGCAGATGCACATTTTAAATAAAGCAAAGTGAGAAGGCAAACAGCTACCAAAGGCAAAATCACTAAGGTGGAATGTAAGGTATTCTTGAGGACCCATCTGGCAGCAGAAACCTTTTGGTTTTGTCCCAACGAGACTGCACTGCTCGCCACTCATTCTGTGAACACAGGAGGCCAGAGCTAGGAGGGAGTCCCTCTACGTTCTGGCTCTCAGAGGTCCTTTCTAGAACTCTTCCATTTGTGGACTTAGCAAAAGCAGGCTCTGGGCTTGTCATAGGGTTCCACAACCCATACTCTGACCCTCATGGGGCCTAAGGATTAGGAAGCTGCCCTACTCCATACCAGCCCACAGAAACACACTCCACTCCCACCATGACACTTACCCCTGAGCCCTGCTCTAACCAATGGCTCAGCCACCAGGAGTTGAAGGTCGTGAGGAAGATGATCACCATCATGAGAAAGAAAACAATGGCAGAGACCACGTAACCTGGGGAGGGAGAGAAGGAGTAACACACAGGTGCCACAAGAAGGTGAAGGACAATGGCTGATAAAGCTGTTCAGCCATCCCAAGCCCTTGGATCATCCTGACCTGCATCTACTTGGAATGCTTTGGAAGACTGGAAAGGGCTTGGTTCCAAGGTCAGAAAGCCCAGGGGTCAAATCCTGACCCTACTACTTACAGGTTATATTGGCCTGGGCAAAATACCAAATGTCAGTGACATTCCACTTCTTTACCTACGAAATGGTGATGGTAGTCATCCTAGTCATCCATGGGGTCACCCTGAAGGTGATAGGCGATAATGTGTGCCAAACACCCAACCCAGTGCCTGGCACAAAAACAGTATTCTAAAGTAGTTCCCCTTATGCTGGTCCTGAGGGTTCAATCTTCAAAAAGAACAACAGCTATCCTTTTTTTAAAGACTGTATGTATGTATGTATTTATTTATTTATTTAAGAGAGCGAGAACATGAGCGGGGGGAGGGGCAGAGGGACAAGCAGACTCCCCAGTGCAGGGCTTAATTCCAGGTCCCTGAGATCATGACCTGAGCCAAAGTCAGATGCTTAACCGACTGAGCCACCCAGGTGCCCCACAACAGCTACCTCTTATGTGGTAGGACTATTATGTACTATGTGCCAGGCATAGTACTAAATACAGGCATTATTTTTGAGTTTGTTATTCCTATCCCGGTTTACTGGATCTCCAAGAGAGGAAGAAACTTGCTCAAGGTCATAGACGTGGTAAGTGATAGAGCTTGGATTCAAAAAAGCCAAGGATGGGAAAACCCACAGTGCATTCCCTTCAGCATCTGTCCCTTGCTCTAGCACTCTACCTACCTACCCATTCTGTGCCCCATGCCCATATTTCTTTTTTTTTAAGATTTTATTTTTTAAGTAATCTCTTTACGCAATGTGGAGTTCAAATTTACAACCCTGAGGTCCAGAGTTGCATACTCTACCAACTGAGCCAGCCAGGCAGCTGCCCATATCTCTTTTCTTGAATTCAACCCTTCCTTAAGCTCCACTCAAGGGTCACCTTTTCTTTGATGACATGTGAGACTGTGCCCGGCCACAGAGACCTCTCTTGCTATGTGGTGAATGCAAATGTCGTAATTCTCCAGCCAGGGTATGCCTTTATACCCCCTCCCCTCCAGAGCGTGGCACAGTGTCTGGACCATAATCAATATTTTGTAAATACAGATCAATTGGTTGCTGGATTCATTCATGTATACACAAGCATTTTATGTTCCTCATTCTGGCTAGGCACTACGTTCTGCCCTGCAGGGGTGCCCATAGTGGAAAGGGTATGGATGGTGATCTATGCGCAGCCTACCTCTTCCTCCCCTAGACAGGTAGAAAGAAGATACACCTTACATGGGGTTAGGTTCCAAAGTCAATCAAAGGTAAAAAGTTGGCATGGAGTCATAGTTACTTTCAAAAATCTCTTAAGTTACTTCAAAAATACAGTATCACATACTTGGTTTTGTGTTTGTAACATTGTACAGTTATATTTATATGAATTTGGTAATATCTACCATTTAGTAAAGCAGTAACTTTGAAACTTTTAGTTCCCATAACCATGAGAAATGTATTTTAACGCATACCTGAATAAAAGCTTTACCAATGTCACTATATGAAATGCATACAGATATTTTCTATTCTGTTCTATCTTCTTTCAGTGCTGCTTACAATTCACTCAAGTGATTTCACAACGCACTAGTGTTTCAGGACTTATAGTTTGAACACCACTTAAATAAACAGTACTGTATGGACTACATGTTCTTATTTCCTACATTCTTGATGCTGTGGCAGTTAGGGCCTTGGTCCTGAGGACACTGCTCTTCCCAGGACTGACTAATTCCTAGAAACAGCAAATGACTCCCTGGGAGCACACCTGTGATACACAAACCAACCAATCCACAGTCCACACTCCCAACCACCTCCTCGTCAAACTCACACAGCAATCCCATATTCCTGCCCTAAACACAAGGCCGGGTGCCAGATAACTAGGGACCACTCCTATAGCCCAGAGCCCCCCCCCAAGACTTATTCAAACTATATAATCCTAAGCTTACTTAGCATACCTACCCTGCCTTACCTACTCCTTCCCACAAAAAAACCAATAAAGGCTTCCAGCCATGTTCTTCCTTCCCTCTGCCTTCTGACCAACCCGGTGCTTCCCCATGTGACCCTGCATGGCAAGCCATGTCTCTTGTTTCTAGGGATCTGTGAAAATAAACTTCTCCCTTTGTGACATTTCCACGTCTGCATGTCTTACCATATCTGATTAAAATAAATCCCAGGTACATTTTAACACAACATGAAACCTAACTTCCAGCACGGACTATGGTGGTAGAGTTACTATAGTTGACTGTGGCTGAGATTGGAATTGTGCAAGTCAAGCCCATGATTGACATGACTCCCCTGTGCCTCCCTGCTTTGCATGACTGCACACATTCCAGTCTGACCCAGTTTCAGGCGCAGGACCAGTCAGAGAGAGAGCCCCGGGCCTGGCATGGCAGCTGACAGACCATACCTCCACTTGCCCGGATGTAGTGGTGGTAGACGCTCCATCTCAGGGACCCTTCTTCCATCTTCTCCTTCTTTGTGAGCTGATTTTCCAGCACTGGGTGAGAGTAAGAGAAGAAAGAAATGATATGCCTCTCAATCACTTGCATGTCTATCAAGGTCAAGAAGAGCTTTTACAAAGCGTTCTGCCCCTGGCTTCCACGTTTTACCAGCTTCTTCACCTTTCAGCTTCAGTGCCCTACCCAAGCCTGACTCTAACCAGCATGTTTCCATGGAAGACTCTGCTGAAGGTAACTCTTCACCTGGACTCCAGAGCCCGGAAAGAGGTTTCGTCTCCAGCCATTCAATAACCCTGGGGGGAGTGGATTGGGGTTTCCAAGAACTTGTTGGGTTGGGAGAAGCAGCAGGAGAGAATGAAGAAAGCAATGATCTGGGACCAGAAAACTGGGTTCCAGAATGGTCATTACAATACTGTGCAATCTCAGGCAAATCACTTAATCTCTCTGTTTCCTCATCTGACAACTGGCAGATCTATATAGATGGTTGCTAAGGTGTTTTGCAGCAATATGCTTCTGAGAAGTCCTCGGAAAACAGCTGTAGCACTAGCTCAGGCAGACTCTTGTCCTAGAGCAGGGCAGGGAGACCAGTACATGAAAATACCAGTAGATGCTGCTAACGATAAGAGCAACAACAAGAAGCCGCGCTCCAGTGGGGTTGTCTGTTGTCTCTGCCTGAGGCTCTCCCTTCTTCTAATAACACACTAATTTCTCCTGGGGAAGAGGGCTCTCTTCCTGGAATTTGAATCTTGAGGGAACTCACACTAGGATGGGAAATATTTGGAGTAGGTTTTCTTCAAAAAAGTCTGCACCTATTCCTGCTACTTACACTCTAAAATTGCTGAGGCCCGGTTCTTCAACTTTTCCTTTTATTCTGTGATCTACATTTTTTCCTTCCAATTATTTTTCTGCTCAAATCATTTTCCGACTTTCACAGCTGAAAATGCTCTTGGTTACAGGAGCCTCCAATACGTCAGGCACTATCCTGAGGCCTCCCTACACCTGACTTCATCTTATCTCCACAACAACACCGCAAAGTAAGGCACTATTACCTTCACTTTTGCAAATGAGGGTTCAGAGTGGTTATGTTGCTTGGCCAAGGTCACAAAACTTTGTAAGCAGAGAGCTGGAATTCAAATCCAGAACTGTCTTTCTGCCCTGCTGCCTTGTCTTAGAGAAGAGCAAGGCCCTGAGCTTCTGGATATCCAAGACTGGGCCCAATTAATTTCTGATTTCTAATACCTTTGTTTTCAACAAACATATAATGCATGAATGTCTGAATGCCTTACAGTTAAATTTATGCTGCTCTGGGCCAACACTACCCACACCCTGCCTCTGCCTCTGCACACCCTCAGCTCTGCCTCCCATAGCATTCACCTGTAGGATCTCAGGCCTCCTGACCAGCACAGTCCTCACCCCACAGCCCTCAACTACATGGATCTATAACCTGTGTATGTGAGGTCTAGGATCCTAGACAGTGAGGGACATGGCCCCGTCTGGGGTCCAGGAGGAGATGCCAGGACCTCTGGAGGAGCCAGGCAGGTTGGCAGATGTGCTCTCCCTTCTCCCCAGCACCATTACCAGCATTTTCATGGAGAGGCTCTTCCTGGCCAGTGGTCTGGGCCTGCCCTTGCACCTGAGGGTCTTCTGCTGGCTTTGCTGTGTCCTGCAGTTTGTCCTGGGGAGAAAGCACATGCCATGAATGCAGGGGGTGTTCCTCCCTTTGGGTAGTAAGGGTGCAGTGGGGTGGAAATTACCTGTGTGGTTCCTCCTCCATGCATCTTCTGGATGAGTTCGGCATATCGCCCCTTTTTCTGTATTAATTCATCATGAATTCCTTTTTCACAGATTTTCCCATCTTCTAAGAAAATGATCTGGTCACAAAATGCTAAATACTGAAGAGTCAGAAGAAATAAGGCCATCAGTAAGCATACAAAAAGATATTCAACTTCACCATTCAAAAGGAAAATGTAAATTTAAATCATAATAAAATGTTTTTTATATACCCACATTGGCAAAAATCTTAAAACACTGCTTAAGTCCAAGCACTGGTGATGACTGGAGGTATAGGGAACTCTCGTAAAAGGTAGGTGTTGTTATAGATTAGTGCAAATACTTGGGAAAACAACTTGATAATACCTAGTAAAATTAAATATTTAAGAATTATGAACCAACAATTGGACTCCTAAACCTCTACTCCACCAAACTCGCAAATGTGCAAAAAGACACATATAAAAAGATGTACGCTGAAGCATTTTTTTTTTTTTTTTTTGTAAAAGTGAAAAATGGGAAACAACCTCGATGTCCATCCTAGGGGAAAAATTCTGGTATATTCAGATATTGGAATGCTATATCAGTGAGAATTAAATCAAGTTGCGTGTATCAACATGGAAGATCTCAAAAACGTAATGCCGAGCAAAACAAGCAAATTACTGAAGGACATAGAAAGTAAACTGTCAATTATATAAAGCTTTAAAATACGCAGAAGGACACTTTATCATGTCTAGAGATTTATACACGTGTTGTAAGGGTATGGAGACCTGCGTGAGAATGACCAATAGCAAAGTGAGGGGACAGAATGCAATCTGAGAGGTGATCTGTGTTTCTGTCATGTGGGTGATAGACACATGGGTTTTCAGTAGATTATTTTATAAGCTGTCTTTATGTCTGAAATATTTTGTACCCTTCCCAAAATAGGCCAAAATGGAAGGAGAGGGATAAATAATAAATACATCTTGAGGCCAAAACCAAGTATGGAAATACCTAGGGTAAAGGCATTATGAGAGGCAGCCCCACCCCCACATGGTCACTGCACTTCATCAAAGTACATGAGACTTGGGAAATTCTCTGAAAGATCTGTTTCCTTTTTCCATAACTTTAAAAGTAGGAGCCAACCCATAAAATCTTGAAGGAGACCTTCAAATCTGGTTTCGATTTTTACCAGCCACAGAAATCTTTTACCAGCCTGTCCTCTCCACGTGGAAAGCAGAAGAGATCCAGGTTTTTTACAATGCTCCTCAAATGTTGAGGTCTAGTCTGAGATGAAGGGGTAGCCACGGTGAGGTTGTTACCGAATCAATGGCAGAAATGTGAGGATCTACGTTAGCCATCAGTCGTGGCCAGAGCCCTGGAAGGGTAGTCACCTGCAGCTGGTGGGTCACCAGAATGACCGTCTTCCGCCTGAGCATCTTCTTAATGCACTCCTCAAAGATGTGCTTCCCTATAAGGGTGTCCACAGCAGACAGAGGGTCGTCTAGCAGATAGAGCTCGCGGTCAGAGTAGACGGCCCGGGCCAGGCTGATCCTCTGCTTCTGCCCCCCAGAGAGGTTGAGGCCCCGCTCCCCGATCTGCAAACAGACAGCCAAAGGCACTGTGTCTAGAGGATGAGCCCAGTGAGGTGTGCTCAAACCAGCCAGGTGGCCAGATGTGACACACTGAACCCCCTCAGGGCACACTCCTAGACACCTCGTGATTGGGCAACCCTGGTATTTAAAAATTTTTTTTCAAAATTTGCTTAGTAGGGAATGAAAAACTGATTTTCAGTTAATTAAAATTTTATAACTCATAATTAGATGCAATGTTTCTAAACCCTTCAACATCTCAGGTGACATTTTAAAACTTTAGCAATTTAGTTAATAAAACAAATCATTCCTAAGAAAGAGCACCTCCTTACATCTTATTTGGGTTTTAAATCTCTGTTGACAGCAACCATCCACTTGCAGGACCGTCAGCCCTCATTGTTGAAGACTGCACTGGGCACAGCCAACTCCACAGGACAGGGCTACATTGGCCGGAAGGGGCTCTATTGTTGCTGTCATGGGAAGGACACTTTACACAACGCCTTATGTCAGGAGATACTAAAAGTCAGTAACAAGCAACCAGAATTACTGAACGGCATGTGCAGACTATCATGCCAGGCACCTGCTGGCTGGCCTATCCCTCAGTCAGCCCTGAGGACAAGGGCGCCAGGGGCTAGTCCCAGTCCCTGCTCTACCATGAACTCTTGTGGTCTCTATAGAAAAGAAGCAGAGTCTAAAGAGCAGCAGGGAGACCTCTAGTCACTACCCTGCCTCTGGTTCAGCACCGTGTGCCCTTGGACAGGCTGCTTTGCCCGGGGCCAAGGCTTAATTTCACATTCAGTCCTCACTCAGCAGATGCTTACTAAGTGCCTACTGTGCTCGCATGATAAGCTAACACCCACTCCAGCTGAGCATGTTCACCCCACTTTGTATGTATCAACTCATCTAAACCTCAAGCTTGATGAGGTCCATATTCACTGATGCCATTCTACAGTCCAGACCATCTTCTTTCTACTGAAGAGATAACCCCGAACAAGACAACTGAGCACTCTGCCGTCAAAGGTTTACAGACCCACCTTTAAAAGAAGGATAATAAGAGCACCAACCTCCTAGAATTACCTGAGGCTCACCTAAGACAATGCATTCAAGCGGCTACAGTAGTCTTTTGCATCTGGTAAGTGCTCAGCAGACTGAGACAACAGATAATACAACAATATTGCTTTTATCTTAGAAAGGTCTTGTGTTGTTTAAAGGTGCCTACAGGTGTGAAAGATGGCAAATTGTTAAGAAAGTGTGACTTGCATTGCCCCTGGGAAGCCATGGTGGCTGTTCCCACAGGCAAAAGAAGAGCTGGCCAGAGAGGGCAGGGCGGGAGGTGGGAGAGGGGAGGAAACGGGGAGGGATGGGAGGTTTCTCATTTTCATTGGGTCTCCACTCCTCTTGCTCCAAAAGGAGGAGTTCGAGGTCAGCTCCCCATCCTTGTGGGGTAAGGTAGGCTCTTTACCAACTCTCACTGTAAGATGAACCCCAGTTTCCTTCCTGGGGGGAGAAGGCTTTGAGGCAGCAGCTGGAGGGCCATGGGCTGCTTCGGGGAAACAGCCGGAGTCCCCCCTCTACCTACCCAGGGAGGCAGCCTGAGGATCCCAGAAAACCATTACAAAGGCACCATCACAATGGAGATGGGGGATGCTCGCCTCCCACTCACCTCGGTCATGTCTCCGAAGGGCAGAATTTCCAAGTCACGGTTCAGGGAGCAGCAGTGGAGCACCTGGAGATACCTGTGAAGGACAGATTGCTAAAGGGACAAGTGGCCCAGCCACAGACCCTCCAGCCTTCCCAAGCTGGGAAGAGATAGGTCTTGCATTCCATGCTAAGAAATTTGGACTTGATCCTGAGTTTAACAGTAAAGCACGGGAGGCTTTTTGCATTTCCTTCTTCCCTTCATTTCTTTCCGTCTAATACACGCACTTAGTAAATATTTGAACAGAACAACAACAAAAAGACAGGGAAAAGCAAGTCTCTCTTGTCTTTGACTCTAAGTTGCTTTCCATGGAAGCAGCCACTATTACAGTTTCCTACGTATTCATTCAGAAATAACGTGGTTGCATATGTCTGTGTGTAGCATATATAGGTTTGTATTGTTTTAATGGCACCATAATATTTTGTTATATGGCTGCACCATAAACTATTTAACCAGTGTCCCTGTGATGGACATTGGGGTTGTTTCTAGTCTTTTGCTACTATGAACAATGTGTAGTGTGAACACTCTTGTAGATGGGCCTTTGTGCCCATGGGTGACACCATCTATACATTCATTACCTAGCAGTGCTGAGTCTAACAATTGGGACATTTTTATTCTTGACCAAATACTTCCAAACTGCCCAATGAGTTCTATCAGTCTGAAAGCAGAGCAATGACGGTGAGAGCTGTTTTGGGATGACTACCCTGGAGGCGAGACCCAAGATGCAGGGGCAGAGCAGGAGAAGACTGGAGACAGGGAGCCAAAGGCAGGGGCAGTGGGAACAGTTCAAGCAAGAGATCACAGGCAAGGACTGGCAGTGGAGATGGAGAAGAAGAAAGACAAGACCTATTTAAGGGATAGAGTTGTCCAAGGTGGGTGACCAATTAGACGTGAACTATCAGAGGAGGAGGCATCAGGCTCCTTGGGATACCCAGTTCAGTGATGCCATTAAACTGAGTTGGGCAACTTGGGAAGAGAAGCAGGCAAGATGGGGGTTGGGCGAGCAGGGTGCCCCTGAGCTGGTGTTGCACCTGACGTTGCGGAGCCCACAGGACAGCCAGCTGGAGATCTTACACCCCTACATGCCCCTCAGTGTTGCTATGGGGGCAGATTGCAACATCAAGCAAACAGTGAAAGGAGGCCAGGGTCCACCAGACTTGGAAGCACAACTGTAGCATTCAGAGAAGCTTTTGTGGATCCTCCATTGAACAGACTTCCAAGCGCGTGTCTCAAGCAGGTTAGCCCTGGACTCTGGGAGGGAGAGGCCACGAAGGGCAAAGGTGGTGGTGGGCGGCCCACCAGACCATGAATCCAAACTGTTTTCTTCTACATCACATGACCTCATCACCGTTTTGACTTAGAGGTGGGGAATTAATTAATACAAACAAAGTTTTAAAGTAACGTTTTCAGAGGGGGAGGGTTATTTTGACTCACAGAGTATAACAGCTACACATGAAGTTTCTGATAACAACTGGGTTCGAATCGTGATTCTAGCATATCCTCCAAGCTCTGTGACTTTAGGCAAATTATTTAACCTCTTGGGGCCCCAGATGACTCATCTAGAAAATGGATATGATAATAATCTCTCTTTGACAGTGAGGAGAACATACGTTGATGCATATAAGTGAGCTCACAGCAAGGGTTAGCAGCTGTCCAATTACTATTAGCAGCGGGGGATCCCTCCCCCAACCAGCCCCATGCACCTGTGTCCCTCCTGGACCCTCCCAGAAACTTACCAGGCCTTGTCATACTGGTCTCCCATGAGGATGTTCTCCCTGATGCTACCCCCGATGATCCAGGCCTGCTGGGGGACATAAGCCAGGCTTCCATGCACCCCCACCGAGCCCTCCAGCAAGTGCATCTGCAGCAGAGTGAGTCCAGCCTCAGGACCAAGCAGAACAAGGGAGGACCCTGCCTGGCTCAGCAGCTGCAGGGCCCAAGGCCCCACTGCCCTCCAGGTTCCTGGGGGCTCTTTTATGTAAATGGCACTTTTAACATTGTCCTGCCAGGCCCACCAGTGAGTCTGAGGGAGGGTCCTGGGAACATGGGGCAGCAGCCAGAGCTAAGCCAGGCCAGTTCCTGCTGTGACTTGAATCCAAGGTCTGCACTGAAGAAACCCCATACTTTTTTTTCTGTTATTTCCCCAGCCCCATTCTCTAGCAAGTGGTGCGTCCATGCTCTTCACGGTGAGACAGAAAGTTCCAGGTCGTCTCTGACTACCCCTGAATATCAACAGATTTATTACCAATGTTGTTAGGTGTGATAATGTCATTGTGCACAGATGGGAAAATGTTCTTATTTGGGGGACATCATGATGAAGTAATAAGTGGGAAAGTCTCATAATCTCTGTAATTTAAAATAGTTCTACAAAGGCACCTGCGTGGCTCAGATGGTTGTGTCTGCCTTCGGCTTAGGTCATGATCCTAGGGACTTGGGATCAAGCTGGGAGCCTGCTTCTCCCTCTCTCCCTGTGGGCTCGCTCTCTCTCTCTCTCGAATAAATAAATAAAATCTTTTAAAAAATAGTTCTACGAAATGTGTTTCTACATAGATGTGGCAAAAATGCAGATGCTATCAACTGTTGAATCTAGAGGTGGGTATAAGGCTCTTTAGTGTCTTCTCACTTTTCTGTTTGATAAATTTTAAAAACACAATTTAAAAAAAAGGCCATAACCCCCGTCCCTACCACCCCAGCATTAGACCTCATCATCCTGTGCCCCTCCCTCTTTATGATTCTATGTTCCTACTCCTGATTTGGAGGCAGGCTTTAATTAACAAGAACAAAACCTTAAAATGACATCTTTTTGTTTTTCCTTTATTAGATGGACAGTGACTGGTTTATTTCAAGAGGAAACTGAGAAACTACTAGCCACAAGGAAAGGTGGCCTTGGATGGAGGCTACCAGGAAATGCTGCTAGGGGGAAAAGCAAAGCTCTGACACCATGTGGACCTGGGTTTCAACCCTGGTTCCCCCTTCGCCTGCCATGTGACCTTGGGCAAGACACCTATCTGAACCTCATCTGCTCACCCATAAACTGGCCATAATGTCTGTGCCTTCCTCATGTGGTTGTTTTCAGGTTGAAGGAAAATAATGGGACGTTCTTAGCACCGGGCCTGGCATGTAAGTACTATTCAAATTATGTTTACTATTTTTTTAAAAGTTGAATCTTGTCTTCCCCATTGCCAAGAAGTTGAGGCAAGGCCATCACATGTGGAGCATGAAGAAGTGAGCTGTCGGGAGAGAGTTCTATGGACAATACGACTACATTCCAAGGAGATAATAAGTTTGGCTATAATATTTGGGAGAAGGAGCTGAGGGAGGAGCTGGATAAAGGAAGAACCTTCTTGTTCTCCCAACAACGTGGGAGGGAGGGATGATGGGCAGAGAAAGGAGGGGGCAGAGAGAGAAGCCCAGGACTGGGAAAGGCTGGGGCTGAGTGGGGAAGTGCTGGTGACAACCCCCTTGGGGAGGTGGCCATAAATGCACACCAGGTGTTGTGGCTGTTGTAAGGTGTTGTTCAGTGAAAGGTGTGCAATATGACCTCAGTTGTTTGGGGGCAACAAGTTGGGGCTTTTTGAAAACTGGAGAAAGGGTGGGCTGAGCCACATGTCTGCCTGCTACAGACCAAGCAGACCTCAAGAATATCCACCGACAGTGGAATTGGACAGTTCAGATCTTAAGGGCAGGGGCACCCGGCAGACATGTAAATTCTACAGCTGGAGTGCGAGTAAGACTGTCCCATCCCACTTGGGAAGGCCTCCTATCCCCCAACCCTCCTTCCTTCCTCCTCCTTTCTCCCGCCACATCGCACTCCTGATGCTGTCTCACAAGGGACACATGTCCCATTCTGAGTTGGGGCTTCATGAAATGATTTTTATCATCACATTAAAAGTTGAGACACACTGTATCATCACCCTGAGAGCTGGTTGATTACAAACAGGGTGAGGAGAGCACAGAGAACAGGTGAGGGCAGACCTCCAGGGGATCTAAGAGGTCTCACTCCTGGCTGGAGGTTGAGAAGGAGGTATATTTATGACACACCTCCCCCTCGATGCATGCCCAACTGCTCTCAATTTATAAAAAGTGTATTGGCTCAGACCCCATTGAGCAAGAAAGCGATGGTGTGGCTGACTGGGGGAACTCAAGCTTGGGAGTCCCTGGACCGCCCATGGGTGCGCATGCATGTGGTCACAAGTCACTTACCTCCCCCAGGATGGCGGACAGCAGGCTGCTCTTGCCGCTTCCGGTGTTGCCACAGACCCCCAACATGGTCCCCTGCAAAGCCAAGGAGGACAGAGTGGCATTGGGACAGCACAAACCCTCCTACTCACCCAGGGTGGGTCTGTTGTTTGAACACAAAAGGACAAGCAGAAAACAAATAACCACACCCACCCCAAGGCCCCTCAGACTAGCAAAGCTCAATGCCACAAAGGAAGGAAGTTACATGGAGGCGGTAGAGAGGAATTCATGGATAGGTGGTCCTGTCGGGCAAGAAACCCGAATTCCAGATCTGCACCTATTCTACCCTATGATCCTGGGCGAGTCACTTAGCCTCTCCGTGCCTCGGTTTCTTCATGTGTAAAATGGGGACAGTGAAGCCAGCCTCACAGAATTCAAGCATACGTTCACTCATTTATTCATTCACACCTCCCTCAAATAGTGTTTGAGTTTCTCCCATCGTACCAAGTACTGAAGAAAAGAATTCTCATGCTACATTTTAGTGAGGAGACATAAACCATGAAATAAATAAATAATATCAGACGATGATAAATGATTTAAGTAAAATGAATTGGCTACCATGAACCAAAGCAATTTTAGATGGGTTGGCCAGCAAAGGCTTCTTAAAGCAGTTGTCATTGCAGCTGAGACCTGAATGACAAGAAAGAGCCAGACACAGGAAGATCTGGTCGTTCCAGGCTGTGGGAGCAACCGGGTTGGCTGCCAAAGTGCTACAAGAGGGCTAGTGTAGCTGGTGTGGAGGGAAGGAGTGGGAGAAGGGTGAGAGCTGTGGGCAGGGTGCTTGGGGGATACCTGGGGATCTAAGAGGTCTCACTCCTGGCTGGAGGTTGAGAAGGAGGTATATTTATGACACACCTCCCCCTCAATGCATGCCCAACTGCTCTCAATTTATAAAAAGTGTAGCACGAGGTCCCTGAAGGGTTTCAAGCAAAAGGGTGACTTGAATTGGTTTATGGTTTAGAAAGAGCCCTCCGTCTACCGCATGGTAATGGATGGTAAGAAGGCAAAAGTGGAAACAGAGGGACTGATGAGGAGGCTCCTAGAGGAGCTGGAACAGCACAGTGGTGGCTGGGGCTAGGGCAGCGGTTTGGGGGGATGGTTGGTGAGAGTCGGCTGGATTCAGGAGAGAGCTGACAAATGTCACCAATGGACTGCATTGGTGGGAGGGGAGGAATGCAATCAAGTTTGACTTGAAAGTTCAGAGGTGAAATTTGGACAAGAAGGGAAGCTTGCCCTTGCAAACGTTAGTCAGAGAAGAAGCCAGATGAAGTGAGTTCACAGAACAACCAAAGTGGCACATACTAGCAACTTAATAAATGTTAGTCTCCTTCCCCTTCTCTCACAGCATACTAGTCTGGGTCTTGTTACTCCAAAAAAAAAAAAAAATTCTGGATGATCAGTTGATTCTCACTGAAGTATGAAAGATTTCCTGTGCTTGCCCTCTGTGAACAATCTGTATTTAAAAGAGGGATTTAGAGACGGCAGTTTTTAGCCAAGGAAATGGTGAAGTGTCAGGAAGCTTGAGCCTTGGGCCCCGAAAGTCTGGCAGCCAGCCTGCCAGCATGGGCTGGATAATGTTACCTTTGACACCACCAGGTTTAACTTGTGCAACTCTGGGGCTAGGCTGTCCCTTGTGTCCTCTGGCCCAAGGGCTCCTGGAGCTGGCTGAGCCCTGGCCATCCCCTTGGTAGCATGCCCATTCTTCTCCAGCTCCATGGCCCCATTGACAGTCCCAGGGCAGGTCTGTTGCCATGACAAGGTGGCCTCCTCCAAAACCACTGCTTTGCTGTGATCTTTCAGTGCCTGGACGTACAAAACAGGGCTCTCCTGGAGGAAAAATTTCTGCACAAAGAGAAAGGAGGAAGGAGGAATTCAGTTCTTTAGTCTAATAGGAATGTGTGCCCATTTTGCTGGCCTGCCAATCAGTCTGGTTTATAAACTCCTAATAAACAGTAAAAGCCAGAAGAACCACCACTAGTTCAGAAGGAGCCAGGCTCTACTGGTGGGAATTCTAGATCAGGGTTTTCCAACTTTTGGACCACTGGGCCACTCTTTGATATCTGCATACTGCCCACTCTTTTCTTTCCTGTTTCATTTTACATGGGTGACAACACTGTGGAATCATCAGATAGATGTGCCACTTTTCTAATTAAATTTCATTTATAACTATTCAAAGTAAAAAGGTCTGCCCATGTAGCACATGGTGGGAAGCTGTTGGGGGCCATACATTTCAAAGTGTGACCATGAGCAGGTCACTCCTCTCTGTGTCTCCTCCTCCCTGACGGGGAAACGTACATGAGTGCTAGCATTAAAAGAGGGGGGGTAGGAAGTATGATCCCACTGCAGTCAAATTAGAGGCACACGTCTCTCCCTGGAGATTCGCTTGGAAAGAGATCTAGAAAGATACTTCTTGACATTTTGGACAATGGCTTCATCTCTAGGTAGTGGATGTTCAGTGGTGGTCTGCAGCAAACTGGATCTCACTGCCTCATCTAATAGGGCAACTATCCCCTCAGCTCCAGCTGTTTGTAGCCACAGCAAAATGTGGGTCTGATATTCCTAGATCTTCTGATTATTCAGAAAAATCCAGAAATCTGATTTTTATGTAGAATTTCCAGGTTTTTAAATGCAAGCAACAAATATGATTTTTTTTTTTTTTTTTAAAGCAAAACCATCACGGTAACCCTATACAAACCTGGACACGGTCTGTAGACCTCCTGTCTGAGACCTGGTTTGTATAGACTATCCTAAGACCTCCCCAGGGCCTGATTAATCTGTCTTCCCAGCCCCCACCCTAGCCTGGGTACAGGACGTCTCTGAGTTAGCCAATCTGCCTTGCCCTGGGGTCACCTTCAGGAGGAACATCTCGGTGGCTGCAGGCAAATGAACACCCAAACAGAGAGCCATGTACACAGTCCTCTGACCACTTACCTTAAACCTCTCTGCCGCAGACTTGGAAATCGTGAGGCCCTTTACTGCGAAGGGCACAAAGAACACACACAACCGCATGGGAATCAAGGTGGCCACCACAGTGAAGGCCTGGGCAAAAAGAGGAGGAGATGGTGAGGGCCACCCCTTGAGGCCCCCATCCCGGAGCCAGAAGCCACAGAGCCAGACCCTGCAGCTTCCAATAGGCTGGTCCGTCCCATGGCAGGGACAGAGCCAGTATTTTGGGGAGACTGGAAAGAGTGGGGAAAGAGCAATCGTCTTAATGTCTCCATGTCTGTAGGCCTGTCTCCTGTTGTAGCTTAGCGACCGGGAGATTCTGCAACTTTGGCCAGGGCCCCTCCCCCAACAAGCTGAGTTTTCCCACTTACATAGTGTCAAAATCATCAAGTGGGTACAGGAATAAAGTCCAGGGAAACACTGAGAAAGTACGTGTGAGAGAGCTTGTTTACTGCTAACAGAGCTTGATACTCTTATTGCTGTTATGATCGTATTCAGTTTTCCTTGCCTTAGATGTTCTACTCTTTTCTAATATTCCAAATGTCCCTGCACTTCAAGCCTAATCCATGCCTCAGTCTCTCCTGGAGACTTTTCCTGACTGCAGCAGACCACCTACGGCTCTCAGGATCTCAGAATGTGACCTAAAGTACCTTGGGGACTTTCCAACCCACACCCCACCTCCACTCCCTTCTTCATCCTTCACTGTGTGAGTGTCGTGTGACCCTGAACTCCTGCTGAGAGTTTCTCCTATAAAAGCCCCTGCATCCACCCTCAAGCCTTCAGGGGGCTTCTCCAGTGCGTGTCTGGACCAAGTAGAAGTGCCTGCTGTATGGAGCACAAACAAACCCTTGGCAGACTCTCCAATGCTCCCCCCCTCTTGCTTTGGGTGCAGTGTCCTTCCCCAAGCCCTACCTGGATTCCAACCTCTCCCAAAGCAGCCCCCTGGCTTTTCTCCTCAGAGAACTGGGATTCTACCCCTAAAAGGCAGCTGCAGCTTTTCTGGGCCAGGGTCAGACCACAAAGAGAAGGCAAAAGAAGCTCTAGCTTTTTATTTAAGGTGTATTTTCAGGGCCCTATTTTGGGTTCGAACAAACTCCTTAATTTAGGATTCTCAACCTCAAGGCATGTATCAGAATTATCAGGGTTTTAACTACACATTTCACCTCCCCTGTATCCCCAGATGACTTTGTCATCCCTCCCTCCCATAGTTGCTATACAAGGGATGTCAGTTTTTCAGACAGATTGAGATGGAAGAAAGTTTGAGCATCCTAAAAGTCTGGAAAATCAAAATCAACATCTATTATCCATTTGCAAAACCTTCAGATCTTTGAGGGACATGATCTAGGAAAACACACAAAAGAAAAACTCCCTATCAATATGAGGGGAAAACAAAGCACCCCAAGCACTTACCCCTGAAACCGTGAGTTTCCGTTGTAAAGCTGTGTGGATGAGGAACATCACCGTTGTGGTCAATGTGGGGGCTATAAACAAGGAGGCAGTGGTCAGGCTCTGGATGATCCCAGACTTTTCCAATAGTTTCTTTTCCTTTCTTCTGAGGTCTGACAGATAAAAAGCAAAGGCACTGAAATTAACCCTAAGAATATTCTCCAAAGAGCACCGAACAACTCCCAGAGCATGAAAGAACAACCCAAAGGGTGAGTGAGAGGCTTGGCCCACCACGACATCCCAAGGCGCTGAGCAGAAAACCAGATTTTCTGTACCTTTAATTATTTTTTCAAATGGTTTCTCCCATGCATACATTTTAATCAGCTTAACGCAGGTGAGAACTTCACTGGTCACACGGATGCGCTGGTCGCTGACCTCAGAGGTGTGTTTGTATATCTTAACAATCCTTTTGATCAGGAACACCTGCAATCAGGATGCAGCAACAGCTTCTTTTGACAAGGGCAGGAGAGTTCACCCAGGCATAAGTATGGCAACTAGGAGTATGTTCAAAGGTAAAATCCAGATGTGGACTGAATACCTGGATTTAATCCTGCCCTGTTGGAATCCATTGTGATTCTAAATTCTAGGGTCCTGCTGAAGACTTTCCAACAGAAACCTCTCCATCATGCCTTAGAGCACCTGTCTCACACATCCTGGGGGTGTTTCTCTCCTGTGTCCCAAGCCAGGCTAACCAAACAGAAATATGACTCCTCTGCCTTTGGGAACCCTAATCCCACCAACAGTTACAATCACCTTTTGATCAGAATACCTGTGCTGAGGGAGGAAAACCCTTGATTTCAATAATTCAGAGCACACATAATCCAAGAGTCACTTCCTGTTTTGTCCAATTTTATTTCACCTGAATCTTTGTCAGCAAATTTGCTTCCCTTCCGCCCTTCTACTGTGCTCAGCCAAATGTTAAATGCTATCTGGGCTATTACATTAGCACATTCTGGGTAGAAGAGAAGGAAAAAAACCTTACATAGAGGACATCTACTAATGAAAGTCTGTGAAGCAGAGGGTCCCTCACGGAAATCTATGAGATGGACTTTCACACATCATATTCACCTCTTATTTTTTTGGCCAGTGTTGTGGCCAGAGAACAGCTTGAGGCAGAAATGGAAGCTGAAACTTAACCACAGTAGAATCAACAGTCAACAGAAGTCAATATTTCCACTCAGAAGTACCCCAGATTCCAGAGCCCTGGGAGTTGTGGGGAACATCCAACATCCAACGGGTGGCAAAGAAAGACATTACCTCCACTGGTAGAATCAGGAGGTAGCAAAGAGTGGCGGAGAGCACAGTGGGTCCAAGAATGAGGTAGGAGGTGACAGTGCAGGCAATCAGCAATGAACAGATGATCCAGATCAGGGGGCCGTAGTACACCCCTTCAAATAGGTAGTTTACATCACTGGCAAAGAAGCTGATGGCCTGTAAGACAGCAAAGCCCCACAGGTATCACCTCTTCAGGTACCTAGAAGGGGCTACATGTGCCGGGGATGTGAAGGCTTGGGAGGCACGGTGGTAGAGACAAAAATACCAAGTCCACAGCTCTCCTCTTAATCTCTGTGACCCTGGGCCCATTACTATGCCACTCTGAGCCTCAGCTTCTTCACCTGTGAAGCTGGAATAATTATACCCACTTTATATGGTTGTTGTGAGGATGTCAATGAAATATAAAGTATCTGCACACGGGCTGTGCTCAATAAAAGTTATATTTTACTGTACTATTGCTACTATCCTGGATAGGATATCTCATATCCAGATTCCCCAGAGAGTTACTTCTAGTCTCCTACCTTATTCTATCCTATTCATTCTACTATTACTACTACTATTAATGGCTGAAATTTTTTAGGCAGAAGCTAAAGGTTTTATCCTTCTTTTTCTATTTTGCTATAGACTCTTCTGTCCACTGCCCTGCTCCCTAACACATACTGCCCATTTCCATGTTACATAAGAGCTGACACTGCAAATCAAGAAATATTCAAATCATGAATGTCTTTTAGAATGACCAGTCTGAATGCCTTAAGAAGTGATTTCCTTTCCACTTTAAACTGATCTCCTTCTAGTTCCCAGGATGGGCCCCAGGCTGAATCTTTATAAAAATTTGAAGTGTATGAGGGATCCTAGCTTGGTACAGCCACTTCGGAAGGGAGTTGAACAGTATCTTTAAAAGTTAACAATTGCACAAACCCCATGACTTGGCTATTTCATTTCTCTGTTGAGAAACATTCACACACACGAGAGGAAGCACATACAAGGACATTTATTGCAGCTGTGCTTATTAGCAGCAAAACCCTGGAAACATTCTAAATGTCCATTGGTAGGGAAAGGTTAAAGCATCCACCCAAGGAGTATTAGATAATATTGGGTCCTGAAATAACCTGTCAGAGTTCATGTCCCAGACCGGTCACGTACTAGCTGTAGAATCTCTGTGCCTTGGTTGCCTTATCAGTAAAGTGGGGATAATAATACAAACTATTCCATAGCATTGATGAGATAATGCATATAAAACACTTAATTTTGCCACACTGAAAATGCTCTAAGGTGGGTGGAGGGAAATGGATAAAGGTGGTCAAAAGGTAAAAATGTTTAGCTATGAGATAAGTAAGTATTGTGACCATAGTTAATATTGTATTGTGTTTAAGTTGCTAAGACAGTAGATCTTAAAAGTTCTCATTGCAGGCAAAAAATTATAACTATGTAAGGTGATGAGTGGTAACTAAACTCTCGGTAGTGATTATTTTGCAACACAGATTAAAGCATTACCTTGTATACCTTGGACTAATACAACATTATATGTTAATTATATCTCAGTAAAAATGGGAGGGGGGAAGGAAATGCTACAATTATAAGTAAGCATCCTTGAAAAGGAACAAGGAAGATCTGCAGAAAACTAAAATGTAGTATCATCTATGTAAAAACACAGGCACAAGACACAATATGTTTTCTATGGGTAACTTGCATGTTTACCTAAACACACTTTAAAAAGTCTAGAAGAACACAAGCCGAATTGATAGCGGTGGTCACCTCCAGGCATTAGGGAAGTGACGGGGTCTGGGGAGTCATCTATTCTACTTTATTTTGTTTCCAAGGAGAACGTATGCAGGTGTTTTTTTTAATTAATTTTAAAAATAAAATTTATGGAGGCAATAGGACTCCTCATGTGAGCAGCTACTTCCAAGTGGGCCATTCTGTCTTATGTTCATGAGGCTGTTTGGGGGAAACTGGCCTTGCATGCAGCAGGTGCTCAGGACAGAGACACAGGAAAAGGAACCAGGGCAGGCCTCAGTGCAGAAAGTCTCTTTGGCAAGGCAGGTAAGTGCACTGGTTCAGAGCCTGGACCCTGCAGCCAGGCTCTGCTTCTTTCCAATCCCATGACCTTGTATATGGTTCCTACTCCTTCCGTGCCTCAGTTTCTACCTCTGTGACCACAGGAACAATAACAGAAACTACCTCAAAGGAGGGTGGTCAGAAGACTGACTGAGCTAACGAGGTAAAGTCTTGGGGACAAAGTCCGGCTCAGTGGAAGTTAATAATTACTATGATGACTCTCCTAAGATAAACAGGGGGAAGGGCTGCCACAGATCTCAACTTCAGTCAAATGCAGGATGACAGGGAGTCCCCATGCTCAAGGCCTAAGAGAAATCAGCAATACAATTTAACACTTCTGAACCACTGTCCCTTTTCTATGTGCTTTATATGTACTAACTCATTTAATCCTATGAGACAACAATCCTGTAAGGCTGGTCTTATTATTCTGCAGCTTCAGAGAGACTGAACAAGTTGCCTCAGGTTACAGGACTAATGAAATGGTGAAGAATAAGGGTAATGATGATAACAAATATCTTATGTTGGCTACCAGTTGAGTTTAGAGAAAGCTTCCACTTGATGGAAGTGCTTAATTTAGTAGACATTTTTTCAGACATCTGTCCTGTGTAATGCAAATGTCGGCATTTTGAGGGATAGAGTGGTGAATCTGAAAGGATTTGTGTCTTTGAAGGGGGCTCATGTTAGTGGGACAGCCAGATTTGTGCTTGGTGGGGACTGGGAGTGGATGGTGGGGTTTGGTGATATTGTCATGAAGGAGAGGACATCCATGAAGGATGAATGGGATTATAAAAGGGCAGAGCATGGGAGTGATGTGAGCAACATCGCCAGGAGGTGGAAAGGCCTGGTGACTGAAGGTTAGCCTAGCCTGGCTGAAGGGACGAAGCCAACCTAGGGCTAGAGGAGGGGAGATGGGAGGAGGCAAGGCTGGACAGTTGCTGATGCCAGATCACCAAGGGGTCTAGCTTGAGGGTAAGGGGTCAGAGCAGTGCTGCCTTTTCCAAAAATTTAAATGTCTATTTCAATATAAAAGTCATTCATGCTCCTCAAGGCAACTGGTAAGCAATAGAAGAATAGGGACCGTGAAATTAAATGTACAAAATTCCAATACTCCCATGACCCTGGGTCATAAGTTGGAGCATCTTTTTCCAATCTCTGTCAACATTTGTCTATTTGTGTAATGTTGCAGGAGGAGCAAGAGCAGGGAACTGATACCCCAAGAACAATCACCAAGCAGCTCTAAGGACTCCTCTTTTGCAGATAAGAATTAACCCTCAGAGAGGTGATCTACGATTGCTTTTCCCTTGATTTCCCTGAGCTATCCCATCCATCCATACCCTCCTCGCCAGGCTGACTGAAGGGATGCACTTTCCAAGGTGCTTCTACTGAGGGTTTGTGTCTTTTTGTTCACGGCTATATCCCCCAGGGCCTACCGCAGGGTCTGGCTCAGAGTAGGCCTCAGTAAGTATGTGTTGAATGAATGAATCAATCTTGTCCAAAGCCTCTGAATGCAAGTGGCACCTCCCTCAGTTACTGTTGACCTGCTCTTATGTTCTCAGAGGCAATTGTTGATGATTATCCACACACACCCTAAGAATTATTTCCTTTCTCTCCTAACTCCCTTTCCTCCCTCCCTCAGCCCCCAGGGCAGGGATGTCTGGAGGAAAGCTAAGCAAGTGTGGCCTCCAATATAGTCCCAGGCACCTACCTCTCCAGTGGTGATGTGTGTTAGAGACTTAAATTGCATTAGCTTCTCAAAGGCAAAGGAGAAAACAGCAGAACGAAACCTGATGCCTGTGCGCTGGTTTAAGACCCAGCATGAGCACAAACTCACAGACTTCAAGCACTCCGTGAAAAAGAGGGCAAAGCAGAGTCCCACCCCATAGGCAATATTCCCTGATGGTGCTTCAGAATATTCCAGGATCTTTGGTATAATCAGCATCTAGAAGGAAGCAAGAATTTGGATTACTTAGTGCTCCAGTTTTCTTCTGGAGAGACTTGCACCTGTCCCGTGTCTAGGATGCATGGTCAAAGTGCCCTACCCTCTGTAGGCCAACTGGTGAGCATGTGACCCCAGCTGGGACAATGACACTTACTCTCTGCGGTCAGATTCTTGGGCCGAGGATCTGGAGGACAGGAAATCAAGTTGATTCATCTTAACTATGGTACATGGAGGAGACCGCTAGTTCCTGCCACCTACATTCCCAGAGCTGCTCAGCCACTTCTCAAAGCAGCTAGCTTGTACTGAGTCAGGATATGTTCTAGGAGCATTATATATTTATCTCATTTAAATTCACTCTGAGAGGCAGGTAATGTCATGCTCTCCATTTTGTACATGAGGGTTTCCACGAGGTCTACCACTAAGTGTGTCATGGGGTTCCTCGAAGAAGCTCAGGTAAACAAATTGCCCAAAGTCACCCAGCAATTAAGTGGCCAAGGTTTGAACCCAAGCAATAGCTGCAGAGCTCACCCTCCTAACTAGTACTAGCTCTACTACCTCCAAAAGGGCTTCATCTTCTGAGTGTAGCTGAGAGACAAACAATCCCCAGCTCCAGGCATGGACTTGGACGTGCTAACCTCTAAAGCCTGGAGTCCCCCAAACCTCCTGAAGCCAGCCACTTACTGGCCCTAGCACGGCCGAGGCAGAGAAGAGGCAGCCCAGAAGTATATCGAAGAGAGCCCTTGTTCTTTGAAATCTCATCATCACTCGAAGCACTGAAGCTTTTTCAATCCCGTGTCTTGAGACTTCTTCTTCCCAAAGGAGGCAGAGCCTTCAAAAGAGGAAAACTGAGCCGGTGAACTCTCTTTGCATAGAGTATCTCAAGTCAATCCCAAACATATTTCATCTACAAATGCTTCACTGTGTATCTCTTCCAGACAAGGCCTTTTAAAAAAACTACAGTGACATACAATATTTATATGTTAATGACTATTAATTATTAAAAACTATTAATTGGCATATATTAATGTAACATATTAATTACATATTTAATAAAAAATTCCTGGATGGCATTTAATACCTGGTGTGTATTCGAATTTCTCTAATTATGTCAAAAACATGTTTTTATGGTTCGTTTGCCCAAGTCAAGATCCAAATGAGGTCCACACATTGCATTTAAATGACAAATATAGGCTTCTTGTGTCTCATTTTAGCCTGTAACAGCTTCCCCTTCTCTGCATTTTCTGCCATTTGTTTGTTGAAGAAACTGCATCATTTATTCCATAGAATTTCCCACATTCTGGATTTGACTGATTGTATCCCTATCGTGTTGTCTAACATAACCCTATGTGCCCTGTATTTTCTATTAAACTCCTAGCTAGATCCGGAGGCATAGTGAAACTCAGAATTCAGGTCAGCTGGCAAAAATACTTAATAGGCGATGCAGTGTATTTCTTTTGCATAACATCAGAAGACACAGTGTCTGGTGTCCTGTTATTAGTAATGTTCAAGGTGTCAGTGAGTTAAGATGTATCAGCCTGACTCATTCACTGCCATTCATTCCCCATCACTGATGACCATTGCCTAGATCCACTTCCATTAGGACTGGCAAAATGGGGATTTCTAATTCTAGCATTCTTTCTGTATTTAGTAGCTTGAATTTTTCTATTAAAAACGAAAACAAAAACCTCTCAGGGCACCTGGGTGGCTCAATCCGTTAAGCATCCGACTCTTAATCTCAGCTCAGGTCTTGATTCCAGGGCTGTGAGTTCAAGCCCCGTGTTGGGTTCCACGCTACGTGTGGAGCCTACTTAAAAAATAAATAAGTAAAAAATATAACTTTCCCTCATCGACTATTTCATTACCCTGAAACACAGTTAATTGAGGAAATAACCTAAGACTTTAAATAATGTCACTTTCTTTTTATATAAATTAAGATTCGTAAAACCCAAAACTCTGACCTCCAAAAAGTGCCTCCATTTATTTCAAAGTCCCCCAAAGGGTGCCCCAATGTTGGATCACCTTAATTAAAAGTGTGCCCTTATCTTGCCAGTCTGCGCTAATGATGCCAGGCTGTTTATGTAACATCAGCAAAACAGGAACACCAAAAACATTTCTTTGGGGAAAAAAAATGAAAAACAATATTTCAAAAAAGCATTAAGAAGTTATCATGACAGGAATTAAGAATTTTGTCGACTCACTTATCCTCCTTTTTTATTTTGTATTATGTTGATACCAGAGCAGGTAACTGGAAAATAATCATTGTCTTAATCTGGCCCTGGATGCTTCCCATGTATCCACAATCCAGTCTGTCAGTGGCAATCACCATATTGGCATCTGCCCTTTTACTTCCTGGCTGCTGCTACACCTTGTTTGGTTCCACTGTCTGGAAAGCAATTATCACTGCCCACGATGAGAACATCAAGGACTATGCCAAGAGACTCCAGGACTCCCTGAAGCTTCCACCCCTCACAGAGCAGGAGCATAGCGGGCCACCCCTTGTGCCCAGGGCCTGAGAGCAGCACAGCTCATGCATGTTCTCGAACAGCTCTATCAGCTTCTGGTTCTCATCTTCTGCCACCAGGTCTCTCATGGCAGGCAGTTCTAGCCCTTTCTACTCCTTACTCCTGCAGCCATGGACACTCATTCAGCCTAAAGCCAGAAAGGAACAAACAAACAAACAAAAATGAGAATTTTCCTGTCCTACATTTCCTCACCTGCCATCAAAACCCCAGGCTGCTTCTTCGTTCCTCAGTTATAAAACTGCCCCATGCCATGCCCATCAGTGTGAGCCAGATAACTTGCAGGAGGTGGGGGCGGTGGTCTGGGCCCTAGGTCAATAAAGCAAAAATGTCTCCATGACACCCATATGTGTTAGAGGATTTTATTGCTGGTGGGCAATATTACTCAGGCCAAACCGTGGGGCCACCTCTCCTTATTCCAGCTTTACCTCCACATATAACCTAATCCACAGAGACAAAAAGCTCTAGAGTAGGTTCTACTTTGACTAAACAAATCCAAGTGTCCCGCAGCCTGCCCTCAGCTCACCTAGCAACCGTATCAATTTCTGGCCATGATTACCAGATTCAGAAGACTGGCTTTCAGATTTGCCCTCCTCCCTTCATTAGCTATATAACTCTGCTATAGCTATATAACATCATTTTACTTCTCTTAGTCCTCAATCTCTTCATGTGTAAAATGGGGAAAATAGCATATGCCCTGTTTACTTGTGATGGCCAAAGGAGGTGATGGATGGGGAAATGCTCTGTAACTATAGAACAATGAACACTATGGAGAATTATGATAGTAATACTGAAGATGATGGTGGTGATAATGTTGACTCTGCCATTGGGCTGATGACCATGGTGGTGATGGTAATGGCTGGCAGTTTGTCGGCAAATCCTCACAAAAGTCAAAGCAGTTCTTCTGAGGGACTAGAGAAGATGCACCCCAGAACTCTGCCTGTTTAATGGGGAACACAGAGAAGGAAGCCTCTCTAAAGGTGTGGATGCATGGATCATTATTTTTTCAAATAAATGTCCCAAAGTGGCGTGATGACAAAAGTATTGGTAGACAGACATGGTGAGTCATAGAATAAAAACAGCAGAATCAGTGCACTCAAAGTGAATAGACATAAATCAATCAATGGATCAATTTTATGATCCATTATTTTATGCATAAGGACACAGGGTCTCTATAAGGGTAAGTGACTTGCCCAACATCATAGCTGGTAAGCAGCGAGGTTCAGACCAATATCTGGCATGATACAAGAGGTAGGTGCTCCCTGAAAACTTTTTTTTCTTTTACTGAATAATTCTGAGAAGCAGAGGGTCAAAGTTGAACCAGTTTTTGTTTTCTTAGTGCCCTCAGTACACTAATTTGCTTTGTAATCTAATCTCTGAGACCTGGCAATAGTATGCCACATTTCTCAAACTCCCTTGACCAAAGAATGCTCTTTTCAGGGAAGTTCTTAGGGGACAACCATTTACTGGAACATATTTGGAAAATGCCATTCTCTACCTGGCGTCTCTCATGAGGTAGCTAGAGGTAGGAACATGAAAACAAAACATTTGAAATCACTCATTCATTCCCCACTCCCCACTTAACCCTCATATTACCTTGTGAGGTAGGTGGTACAGGAAACTCAATCACACAACTAGTTAGTGATGACTTAAGGATTCAGAGACTTAACCCCAAATTTAATGATGAGTGACACAGATAACTGCCTGATCCAGAAGAAAAAGCAAAAGGAACAAGAAGCAATAATTTCTAACTTTCTTGGGGTCCTGGGTCCTTAGGCAAATCTGATAAAAGATATGAACCCTTGCTCCAGACAAAAGTCTCTAGCCCATATGTATAAAATATGTATACCATTTCAGGGGGTTCATGAACTACAGTGAGGCCTCTTGATACCAAGGAAGAGCTGATATTCTTTGGTTGTCTAAAGATGGGCCCTACCTGCTACTCTCCAGAATCTCTGGTCACCAACCCTGCAGGACATGATCTCTAACCAATCCAGTGGCTTGCCCAATATGACTCTACCTTTCAGCATTTTTGTCTGAGGCATCATGTACCGACAGCTGGGGGATGGTGTTCTCATCCAAGCGTTTCTGTAAACCTAGGATCATGAGTGGGGTCAGCCATGACAACGTGAGGTATGAGAAGAGGCCAGCATCATCCAGGGGTTGTGGGGCAGGAAACCTAGCAGAGAAGTCATAGGTCATATAGTTGCCCTTATTTTTTTTTAAGATTTTATTTATTTATTTGAGAGAGAGAGCTAACACGTAAGAGAGAGAGCATATGAGATAGAGAGCACGAGCAGGGGGAGGGGCAGAGGGAGAGGGAGAATCAGACTCCCTGCTGAGTATGGAGCCTGACCTGAGGCTCCGGGCTTGATCTCAGGATCCTGGGATCATGACCTGAGCCGAAGGCAGACATTCAACCCACTGAGCCACCCAGGTGCCCCTGTAGTTGCCCTTATGATATAGGCACTAAAGACAGAAAATTAAGCCAAGAGCAAGATTTTGCAGGGATAAATTATATATTAATGTAAAAACCACAGTGTGGTCATCTGGAGATACAAAACAGTATGGGTTTTTTTTTTTTTCCCATTACTCTATTATGTGTGATAATTAAAAAACAGAAACAACAAAAACACCCATCAATAGGGGAATGACTTAAAAAGAAAGAAAAGAAGTAGGGTATGTGGAAAACAATGCAGAAGTGTCCAAAAATAGAGTCGATCTGTATGTAGAATATGGAAAGAGCTCTAAGCAAGGAAAAAAACGCTACTTGCAGGTCAAGAAATTCAGTATATTTTGACATATTAAAAAAGGAAGAAATGAGAGAAGGCAAACAAAACTATATATAAAGTCAACCACTATTAACAATTATATATACACGTACATATGTTTATACACATTTATGTATTTAGAATATGTATACACACATTTATGCATTTATAAATGTATACATACATTTATATATTTATGTATTATATGTATATATGCATTTGTGTTTTTATATGTACACATTTATATACATACATATAGACACATTTATATCAAATTCTTAATAGTGGTTGACTTTGACAAAGGGATTAGAATTGGTAAAAGTACAGGAAAAGAGATTCTCACTGTTTCACATTTTCTATATTTTGCTTATGTAATTTTCATAAAAACAATAAAAATGGAATAAAAAGTAATAAGTAAGAATGATAAGGTCATATCTCTGGAAATGATTCACAAATACAGAAATAATAATTGGATGAGGGTGTTGGCATTGTGTGTAATCTCTACTCTTTTTTCAAAGTTGCCTTTAATGCTGTGTGTTTCAATCTGAAGAAAATCCCATTAAAAAGAAGACTTGGGGAGAAAGATGAGAAGACAAAAATGCCAAACATATGGGGTGTTTTTGTTTCGCTTTGGACTATGGGCTCTTCTTCACTGGGTGGCCCTTCCCCTCCTCACTGCCCACCGGCCCCCACCAGCTGTGCCTTCTGGACAAGGCTGGAGAGAGAAGGGACTGAAGGGAGGATGGGGATCTGTACCAGGTATCACCAGATACGTGGGGCCACGTGTGATTGCAGGGAAAGGGCAAGAGTCTGTGAGCTGGTGCCTCTATGCCAAAGGCCTGACAGGAGCAGCGTGTTCCTCTAGATGAGGTGACCCAGGCCCACTAAGTACCCAGGTTCTTTGTTTTCGGTGGAGATGAGAGCAATCCTGTGGGAACAATGTAGCTAGTAGTGAGGGGACCTCAAGTTTTTTAAAAATAGGAAAACAACGGCAGTTTCTTTGCTAGCTAAAATCTTAGCAAACGTGAGAGAGAGAAGAGAGGATTGTACATACAAAATGCAGTCCTGGTGACAAAACGCTGAAGAATCAGCCTAGAGGAATGTTAAGGTCCTGTCCATACATGATGAATAAATGAATTCTGTGCAGGCCCCCGAAAGCAAGTTTGTATGAGTCCCAAAGACATTGGGGGGATGGTTACTTTCAACTATGGTTTACTGGACAAGGATACATCGAATTTCTTTAACTCTTAAGTTTAAGGGTAACACCATAGGGCATTTGGGCCCTTTCAACAACTCCTCATTTCTCTTAGAATGAAGACCAACATACTGAATGTGCCCTGTGGAGACTTGCGTCCCTCTGCAGTCTCGTCTCATGCCACATCCCTTATCACACATGACTCCAGTGACACTGGCCTCCTCAGTTCCTGGACACGTCATGTTGTGTTCTTTCCACCTCAAGGTCGGGTCTTGGCACATGCTGGTCCCTCTGCCCAGATCATTCTTCCTTTACTCTGGCCTAGTAAATTCTTGTTTATCTTCCAGGGCACAGCTTAAGTACCAAGAACCTACCAAGCTGTCGCTGTTCCATTGTGCCTCAGCACCCCCACACTTCTTCATAATACTATCTTCAAGCAGCTTATAACCATGTTTAGTTAGGAGTCTACTTGCTTATTGTTTTTCTCCCCAATGTGTGGTCCATGATGGGCAAGGATCATGTCTGTCTTGCTTACTGCTGTTCCCCTGAGGTCTAGCACAGTGCCTGGCACATGTAGGTGCTCAACGAATCCTTGTAGGATGGATGAATGAATGACCGAACGAGTGAGTGAATGAGCTGACTCTGCCTCCCTGATGTGCCTCAGGCTGCTCCGGAGGTATTTGGCTGTGGTGGGTGACATGACTCTGTGGAGACATGTGGAGACATCTTTGGGAAGGGTGTAGGTATTAGGGTCTGAAGAACATTGCCCTGAAGGCTACTGCCCCTCGCCTCCCCCTCAGAACTCACTTTGGCTTGGGACGGAAGGGAATCATGGTTCTCCAGGCAGCATCGTATTTCCCCCAAGGGAGGACTGTCGCCATCCCTGGTGCCTCAGGCTTCCTCACCTGCTGGCTCCAGGGGCCGTCTCCTGGAGTGTAAGTATTCTTGGGAAAGAAAAACCGAAAGAAATCAGCTTCCCAACCGATCTCATAAATACTATTCTGGAGTGTTAGCCACCCAAGGACAATGGATCTTCCTACATCCAGTTTCCTAAAGAAAGGCTGCTAGAGTCAGACAGAGAAAGACAAACACTGTATGATCTCACTTGTATGTGGAACCTAAGCACAACAATAATGAAGCGCTCAGAGAACGGATTGGTGGTTGCCAGAGGTGGGGGTGGGGTTTGGGCGAAATGGGCAAAGGGGGTCAAAAGGTACAAACTTCCAGTTAAAAAATAAATGTCGTGGGAACTGAACATCATCATCATCATCATAAAATTAAATTTAAAAAATTTAAAAAATAAAATAAATATCATGGGGCTGTAATGCACAGCATGGTGACTATAGTTAAAACACTGCATTGTAGGTTTGAAAGCTGTTAAGAGTAGATCTTAAAATTTCCCATCACAAGAAAAAAAATTATAATTATATGAGGTGGTGGATGTTATGTTGTGATAACTCTTTCACACTATATACAAATATTGAATCATTATGTCGTACACCTGAAACTAATATGTTTTACGTCAATTATACCTCAATTAAAAAATAAGTAAAAGAAAGGTTGCTGGGTAGGGAATAAGCAGTGGGCCAAGACTCAGGACAACTGGGTCCCAGCCTTGGTTCTGCCTACATTCACGGGGTGAGTCTGGGCAGGTCACCCTACTTCCCCAGGTTTTTATCTGTGATATGCACTTTACACAAGAATAAAGGGAGCTATAGTCACCCACAGAATGTGAGACCAAGTCACCCTCTGAGGGTAAACTTACTAAAAAGAAATCAAGAAGTAAGAAAGTAGCCCCCCAAAATTACATGTGACCCTTTTGATAAAGTGGGAAACAACTAAAATTTTTTTAAAATATTATCTTTAGGACTTCGTATAGAATAAATAATACTATCTTAAAAGCATAGTAAGGGATTGATGAGAAAAGAGTCAGGAGAGTGAGTACTTCAGGTAGGGAAGTTGGGGAGTGAAGTGGGGGGAGGTCTAATAGCTGGATGTGATTGTCAAGGTTCAAGCTGGTGAGTTGATGATGGTTTTACAGTTATAAGTAAGTACATAGATAAATAGTAATAGATGATAGATAGACAGATAGACCAACCAGGAAGGTATGTCATGACCAAGGATTATGATTCATCTAATTGCAGAAGCTTGAGATCCATTAAAAGAAGTCAAGTTTGAATAATGTGGGACAAAATTTTCTAATCTAATTTGTGAACATTGAGAATACCCTGTCAATTCAGTTTCCTGGTATTTTAATGCAAAGGAGACCTACTTACGTAGCTAAGCCCTGAAACCATATCATTGCTCATGTCCATGCCGAGATTCCCAAGGCCACCAGAAGATCTGGGGACCCAGTACATCCTCCTCCTGGTCATTTTCAGCTGTCTTGCCAATCCTTCGTTTCCCAGAATCAGAGAATCTGAAAAGGCAGCAGGTAAGAGCAGCTTAGATTCGACCCTAAGCAGTCAGGAGAGGGGGACATCCCCCTGCAGGGAGTAGGCCAGGGTCACACAGGAGACTGGACCACTGTCCCAGTTCCTGCTCTTCCCTCTACCTGGGATGGGCTTGCCTCCCTCTTTTTAAACATCTACTCGGGCCTCAGCTCAAGATCACTTGGGGAAAACTTTTCTAACCACCCAATCTCAACCCCATAACCTTGGGCCAGGCCTACTCATAAAACCATGCTACTTCTCTTATCCCAGTTTGTAATTATATACTTGTGTAAATCATTATTTGTTTGGAGTTCATTTCCTGCTCTAAATAGAGAGCCTCACAAGGAAAGGGCCATGTCTGTTTTGCTCACTACTGAATCCATGGAGCCTGGGACAGTGCTAGGAAGATAACAGGTGCTCAATAAATAAATAATAAATGGATGGATAAATACATGAAAGAAATGCAATTTTACTATTAACTCTGACTCTTAGCTTTCACAGACTCAGAAAGTAGAGCTGGACACAATTTAAGAACCTTAAATAACCCAAGGTATTTTTAAAATATGTTAAAATGCTTTTCATTTTTGCCTTTCTGAATATGTGATTCACGCCCAGAATATTCACATGCCTGGGTTGGGAGAGGGGATGGTAATTAGGAATATTTCTGAGGGAATGGAAAAAGAGAGTATATAACAGGGCCAGCATCATGGGCTATGACCAGTGCCTTCCAGAGCCCTGTATTTGGAAAGGTCCAGGCTTGGTTAAGGCTCTGCTGTCACCATTTTGAAATGCTTAATAATTTTGAACAAGGAGCCCACATTTTCATTTGGCACCAGGCCCCGCAAATTATGTAATCGGTCATGGTATTCAAATACAGCTCTTGACGTTCAAATGTTGGATTGTGCTTCAAGTAAATAGACTTGCAGACTAACCAGTCTTGGGAGAAGAACCCATTTCCTCCCATCCCACTTCCTTTCAGCAAATCACGTGGTTGCGACTGGTGGACTCCGTTTCTGGAATTCCGCTATAGAGCATGCCAGACAGATTCCCCAGCCAGGGCATCAGGCCACAAGGTTTACATACCATGCGACGGTAGAAGTGAAAGCAGAATAAGTCAGTCCGAGAAAGACAAATACCATTACGATTTCACTCATATGTGGAATTTAAGAAACAAAACAGATCGACATAGGGGAAGGGAAGGAAAAATAAAATAAGGTGAAAACAGAGAGGGAGGCAAACCATAAGAGACTCTTAACTCTAGGAAACAGAGGGTCGCTGGAGGGGTGGTGGGGGGGGATGGGGTAACTGGGTGATGGACATTAAGGAGGAAACTTGATGTAATGAGCACTGGGTGTTGTATACACCTGATAAATCACTGAATTCTACCTCTGAAACTAATTATATGGTATATATTAATTAAATTGAATTTAAATAAAAATTAAAAAAAAAGAAGTGAATCTGTCAGGGATGGTGGAAAAGAAGAAAGAGAGAAAATGTCACACACTCTTTGTTTAAGACTCTGGGAAGAAACGAGGTTTCTGGCTGCTATGAATCAGTCTAAGACACAGACACATTAAAGTAAAATTGGCATAACTCAACAGAAATCCTTGGGGCTAGCACCACAGTGTACTGCAGTACAGTTTATTCACTACACTAAGGTTTCCAGCGGAGGGAATGGCAGGGGCAGAAGCGGAAGCCAACAAATTCTAGATTGCAAGTCATGGACTTGGCAAGTGGCTGCATCACTGATGTGCTGACAGATATTTGTATTTATAACTAACCTACTATTGCAACTGGTGACTGAGTGTAGTTCCAACATGAATGCTGCTTGACATTTGGCTTTACCTTAATAACTAAGAGGAAAATGAAACATCACAGATGTTCATTGGTTGGATCTTCACTCATCTGTCAATGACCTGAATAGTCTGCCAATACTGAAACAATGCTTCCTCATTTTTCCTGTGCTCTTCACAACATCATGGTTTTAGGCACCACACACTTGTAGATTTAATCTGCATTATTAACATTTCCTGCATTTATTTCTTCAGCCTAGATAATCCACAAAATAATAAAACAGCCCTGCTTTACAAGCTTTTTTAATTTTTGTGTGTGTGTGTGTGGTGTAAATATTCCCACCGCAGCTGATTTCAAGCTACCCACATGACCACTGAATATAAAGGTGGGAAGAGAGACATAGTGATACATCATTCTACAGTATTTCCACCCTACAGATGCAATAGAGATAAATAATTTCAAAATGTAAATAATAGTAAAATGCAGTAAAATAACTAGAAAGTGATACATTTTGAGTATTGCCTTTGTCTTTGATATGATATATTTAATTGCAAGTTTATATAATTTAATTTTAATAGTGTTCGTGTTTAACGACTGGGCTCTCAGAATTCCTAAAATGTGATGGGTTGTTCTCCTGAGTCAGTATGAACAGGCTCCAGCAGACCACTGCTGATCCATCTGGAAAACATGGCGCCTTTTTCTAAAGCCTTCTCCCACCAGGGACAGCTTTTTCTAATTCCCTCCTAAGTTAGTGCTGGCTGTACATGGGGGTTAGCTTTCCTGGCTCCCTTGGTGCAGAGGGGAACAAGAAGTAGAAAGTCTGGGTAAGGGCCTTGCTGAGGGGGCCCAGTGGGCTAACCACACTGCAAATAAATGAGAGTCACGGAAAGGTTTTGGGAGTGGAGTATGGGGCTCACAGAGGCCTAGCAACCCTGGGAACACTGCCAGGCCACAAGCAAGCCAAAATGCATCACTACAGACTCTCCAATGACAGCAGGGCAGGCAGTGACCAGGAGGACAAAAGACACCGCTTGGAAAAGCCAAGGAGCAGAGGACACGGTGCCTGGGACCCTGACTCATCCTCTGCCAGGCAACAGCTCTGAGACTGATCCTTTGCTGAGAGTAACTTAAAGGAACTATTTAAATGACTGGTTTAAACAAGAGCTTAAAATGGTAAACAGGAACACTTATTTTCTCTTCATTAACCAGCAGTTTAGGGGCTCATGAGGAAGACTATGTTCTTAGAGACGAAATAAAGATATTGGATGTTCTCTCACCTTTCAGCTCTGGTCTGATTTGCCAACCTGGTTTATTTTTACACCCCTGCGGAGAGATGCAGAGAGGGTTTCAAAGGTGTCACCCATTTTTATATGGCATTTGTCCAAGAAACTAATAACAGGGAAAAGTAAAACAAATGGAAATGAAGAAAATGTAAGCATGTATGGTGGATATATGTTTGCAGAACACAAATTGCTCATTTCCACACAATTGCAGCTCAGTCACACATTAGTGCGGGGCACCTTCCAATCGATGAGGCCCACCTCCGCTTCTCTGACTGGCCAAGGGAATTCCTCTAGAACTTCCTTTGGCAGTCCTTGAGAGGTTCCCTGGCCTCCCAGCTTCCTCTTGGGAAGAACCAGAGTGCAAGTTTATTCACTCTGACTAGTGGCGAGACCATCACTGCGGTGAGGGTGGAGACCAGGATGTGACGGGAATAAAACAGAGAGGAAACAGACGCTCCCAGCCCTGTGCTCTCCCCATCCCGGGGGGAGAAAATCATGATTATAAACTTGGTTTAGACATGGGCCATTTGCATATGACCAAAGAGTCTGGAAACAGGAGGGGTGCCACTGCCGCAAGGTAATGTGTGGCACGGGCCGTCTGGAGGAAATAACTTACTTCCTCATTGTTCTTACCCCTTTATCCAGCAGGATGCAGTGTCTAAGGCTAGAAGGTATGCCAGAAGGTAAGGACAGTATCCAGGGCAAGGCACAGAGACACCGGCAAGCCAGCCTCCGAAGAGGTTTAGATGATTAGACCTTATTCCTGTACCTCTCCCTCCAGTCCATTTACACCCTGTGCTCGTCAACTTTCCCTGCTCAGAGGTTCATTTCCTTCTGCTAGTTCCAATAGCTTCTGGAGGCCATCGCTGGCATCTTCCTGACTGCTGAATCCCCACATCCCAATGCCTGGCCTTCTCCTCTGTTCCAGAAACTGGGAAACTCCTCCCCACCTTGATCTTTGTGCCAGTCCTAATCTCTGCCAAGAACATTCTCCTTCCAGCTCCTCATGGTGCTGATCCATTCTCATCATTCAAGTCTCAGCTCAAACACCACCTCCTGGGAGTAACCTTCCCAGACCTCCCTGGTGAACACTGTACTCCTCTTTCTATCATAGTTTTCTGCTTTATTTGCTTTACTTACCACTTTCTCAAATTGCCATTTCTTTCTTCCTTGGCTTATTTATATTTCTGCCCACCTCCCTAGAATATCAGCTCTTTGAAACCAGGGACCTTGTTTGTCTTGTTCATTGATGTATCTGTGAATCTAGAATAGTGCTCAGCACATAGTAGATGCTTAATAAATGTGTGAAGGATAAATAAATGATGTAGATGCAAAGCCTGTCAAAGAAGGAGCCAGGAAATCCACATGGTCACTGAAGACCTCACATTTAGATTTTTGATGCTTTCCCAGGTCCGGTGACACATCCCATTACAGACATACAGTCACAGGATTAAAAAGTTGTTTATCAAGCAAGCAATTTAAACATGGATCCATTCCCACAACACAGCTTCCTTAGTGCAGTGTGAATTTGTATTTAAAAAAAAATAAATCCAGGGCACTTGGGTGGCTCAGTTGGTTAAGCGACTGCCTTCAGCTCAGATCATGATGCTGGAGTCCCTGGATCGAGTCCCACATCGGGCTCCCTGCTTGGCAGGGAGTCTGCTTCACCCTCTGACCCTCCCCCCTCTCATGTGCTCTCTCTCTCTCATTCTCTCTCTCTCAAATAAATAAAATCTTTAAAAAATCAATCAATCAATCAATCAATCCAGCGATTATTATGTGAATAGAATATCAATTTTGTTTGTTGTTATTGCTGTTATGGGGGCAGGAGTGTAAGTGTGTAGATTAAAAGCATTAAACATGAGTGTTTAAAAAATATATCATGACGTTTATAAGATGGTTTTTTAATTTCTTTGTTAAACACAAGGAGCCTCAAAAACTGGGCCTCCTCCATCTTGCCCTTAGAGAGGCCTTGATAAAAAGGTAAGCTCTTGTGGATGTGGGCCCATCTTTTTTTATCTCTATATCTCCCCAGAGTCTACCACAGGGTAGGGTACATAATGCACATCCAGAGAAATGGTCCAGAGCTTGCTTACTGTATCCAGGATCTTCAGCTCAACTTCTCTCTAGGCCTGGTGGCTCAAGCCCCAGTGTAGGAGATATCCTTGACAACTGTTTTCCTTCATTCATCATGTTCAATCCATCAGCATATCCTGTTGAAGCTACAGTCAAATGTAGCTTCCAGTCTAAGTCCTCATTATCTCTTGCCTGGACAAATGTCACCACCTCATAACTAGCTTCCCAGCTTCTGACCTTAAATCATTACATTGCATTCTCCACACAACAGCCAAAACGGTCTCTTGAAAACATAAACCAGAAAAGATATTCTGCACCTTGAAACTGCCAATGGCTTGCATCATGCTTAGAGTAAAACCCTGACTTCTTACTAGACTCCTTACCCCATCTTTTTACCTCTTACATGGCCCTCTGTCACCTGATCCTGCCACTTCTCTTATCTCAGCCAAACCACCAGGCCCCACTTGCACTAAATTCCAGGAGCAGTTTTCTCAAATATCCAAAATTCATTCCGGACACAAAATCTTTGCAGTTGTTGCGTCTTTGGCCTGGAACAGCACCCCCTGGGCACCCCTGCCCTGAGCTTTGCATTGCCACCTCTTCATGCACAGGGCCCTGTTCAAATGTCATCTGTCTAGTGAGTCCTTCTCTGACCATCTAAAGGACTTACCACCATCCAAAATTACTCTCCTTGTTTATTGTTTCCCTCACTAGAAGTTCAGCTCCATGAAAGCAGTAACCTTGCCTGTCTTGTTCACTGACATATCCCCAGCACCTAAAATAATATCCAGTATATAGTAGGTATTCCAAATATATTGCTTAGTGAATGAAAGAAAGTTGGGATAATGTCAGAGAAAGAGCTTTAGGCAGGAGCATCCAAGTTCCTGCATTTCTGTCTCCACCACGGCCTTATATACCTGCTTGCATACCTACCTTCTTCTGTCCCTTATCTGCAGCACACACAGAAACACACAGTTCCACCTGCCCTGTATCAGACTCAGCCGTCTACAGGGCTGTCCCCCCAGCCAAGAGATACACAAGGGTAGGAGCTTGTCTTATGTTATACTCTTTACTCCTCCACAATTAGCCCCGGACCTTGTACTTAGCAGTCCCTCAGTGAATGCTTGTTGATTTAAACGGACTTTCAATTCCCTCTTGGATGCTGAGAGCATTGCTGGACTTCATAGGGAAAATTTTCCATCTTCAACTTATAGCCAAACCCAAGTCAAATCTGAACGTGAAGAAACTCCTAATGGCCAAATCAAAAACAATTTAAGTGATTGGGTTATAACCCATAAAAAAAAATTCATGAACCCTTAATAACATAAAAAAATTGAGTAAATAAATAAATGATGGAAATGTGCAGCTTTTTCTTACAGAATTCCAATTAATAAATGTTATATTAACTCCCTACAATATATGTATTATGTATAAAAAGAAATATTTTAACTTACAATAGGGAAGCCTGGCAGATACCTCCTTTACCAATCAATGTCAAAATCACCATTAATAATACATTTCAACCATTATGTATCAGAAAGAAGGCCACATCTCTTCTGTATAGTCTTTCTGCCAAAAATGTGTAATGTTGATCCCAAGCAAATTGAGGGACTTCTACAAAATAACGGACCAATGCTCAATATATATATACACACACACACACATATATTGAGGAGACGTCACAACTAAATATAAGGTGGGATCCTGGGTCAGAAAAAAAGGATATTAGTGAGAAAAGGGGCAAAATTTGTGCAAGGTTTATAGGTTAGATAATAGTGATGTTAATTTCTGGTTTTTATAATTGAACTGTGGGAACTTTTTTTGCAAAATTTTTGTAAATCTAAAATCAATTCGAATGACAAGTTAAAAACATTTCAAGTAGATATAATTTAAACATGATCCTCTCTCCAGGGGACGGTCCTGAGGCTGAGCCTAAGGAGAAAATGGAAGAGCCGGCATCGCCGAGGACGAAGGTCGCACGGGGCTGGAGTGCGCCTGTCCTCGGACACTTACGGCACGCGCGCGCTCTACCGGGCGGCTCCGGGAGCAGGCAGCGCGAAGCTGCGGGGTTTGAGCCCGGGGGCGGGCCGTAGCGCGGAGCCGGAAGTGGCGGCGCGCCCTACCGCAGCGCGGGTGGCTGGGACCTTTGGTGGTGGGGGTTGTCGAGGTCGCGCAGAGCTGTGGGTTCTGCTCTCTTTGACGGCGCCCCAGCGCGAACAGCTGTCGCCATGTCGTCAGTGAGCCCCATCCAGATCCCTGGACGCCTCCCGCTGCTGCTCACCAATGAGGGCGTGCTACTGCCTGGCTCCACCATGCGCACCAGCGTAGACTCGGCCCGCAACCTGCAGCTGGTGCGGAGCCGCCTGCTTAAGGGCACGTCGCTGCAGAGCACAATCCTGGGGGTGATCCCCAATACGCCGGACCCGGCCAGCGACGCGCAGGACCTGCCGCCGCTGCACAGGTAGGCCGGGCGGCCCCCGTGGCGGCGGCGGCGGCGGCGGCGGCGGGCGGCGGGCGGCGGGCGGCGCGTCCTCCTCTCGGGACCCCGGCCCAGGCCAGGCGGGGCTTCGGAGCGCCGAGGCTCCTCGGGGACGGCCTTCGTGGCTCGAGTCTGCCTCTTCAGCTACGTCCCATGTGAAATGGGGGTGACAGATGTCTCTCTTGTTACTGTTAAAGGGCATTATGTAGATATGTATATGCCCTTTTCATTACTTCATGTAGTAATGAAAATTCTGCAGTTAGCTGCCGCTGTTAAGTTCTCCTCCCCGCCCCCCAGGTCTTAAGACTCTTAGCCCAGTGCTCTTTTAACTTTCCAGGCCCCTCCTCTTTCTTATCCTTTATTCCCTTCCTCCCCGTCTTTTTTGTCGTCTTAAGTGAGACACTTGGTACTCCACACGTTTTCTTTTTCCTGTACCATCCTAATCCGCACTACCCGTTTCATTATTTTTGGGGGTGCCTAGTCTTCCAAACTCCCTGCCTGCCCCCCCCTTCTCTTTAGCCTCCCGTCCTATTCACATAGTCCCTTGTCTCCGTTTCTGGAACTTTCTCATCTCGTATCTGCTCTTTCTCTCATATCTTAACATTTCTTACGCCCCAGGCTTACCACTAGATTGCCCTACACCATGGCCCTAGTTGTGTGTCTTTGGGTGAGACACCCTGTGCTTATTGGAACCTAACAGTATCCATTTCTTAGGTGTGTTACGAATTAAGTGAAATAATCGTTGTGCCATGATTGATAAATAGTAGTCCAGTACCGTAGCCACTACCCACATGTGCCTGGTCCAAACTGAGATAACTAGGGTGACCAGCGGTCCCGGTACGCTGAGGATTGAAGTAGTTTTAGCAGAAGTCCTGTTTCCCAGGAAACACCGTTAGTCCCAGATAAATCAGTGCAATTAGTCACCCCAAACGTGCTGTAGGTATACAGCACACACTAGAATTTGAAAATTTAGTATGTGAAATGTTTTGCTGATTAATGATTTTTACATAGATTAAGTGTTGGAATGGTACTATTTTGGTTGTCCGGGGTTAAATAAAATACTAGTATTTCACCTGTTTCTTTTTACTTTTTAATGTGGCTACTAAAATTACATATGTGGTTCACATTATATTTCTACTGGACAATGCTGGGATATAATACATGCTCAACAAATGCTATCGTTATCTTCAGACTCACCTCCCTAGCCCCTGCCTCCTATCCTTAACTTGTCCTGAGATGCTTTTAGTTTAGAGCCATTGTTTACCTACAGTTACCCTTTTTTTAAAGTTAGGGATTCCTGACTGAATGATTTCGAGAGGGTTAGGAATGCCTTATTCTTACCCAAAATCTCGTGACTATATACATTTCTAAAGGAGAGGCTATAACTGTCTTCAAATTCAGAAAGGAAACTGGTATCTTTTCCCTCCCTTCCTAAAACAAAGCAAAACAAAAAACCTTTAATACTCTCTTATTAGTCCACATTGTAAAAACCTTGCATTTCTCAGGCATGGAAAGCACTTTGGCTTCCATCTGATATGCTTTGGTTATTGCTTGCATGGAATTGGATACTTTTCAAGTTTCAGTAAACCCTGATAAATTGTGTTGAATTCTGGTTTCCCTACATAATGACCCCAGCTCCTTAAGCCTTTGCTTATGGCACAATTTTTTGCTTTCTGTGCCCAGGCATTTGATCACTGGTTGAGGCAAGAGTGTTCATGGTTAGATTTTCTTTTTGTTTTAGTTTTGTGCATATGTGTGGTGATTATCCATGGGTTTTAAATTAATAGCAATGTTAAAATTTAATCATGTAAGTTAGAAAACATACATTGACAATTCTTCATAGAATTCTAGCAAGGACCCACCAGACCATCTGGTTATTCTAGAAATATTGTTTGCTACTGGAAAAATCTGTGTAGAAAGATTGTACTGCATTCCTTAGCACTAGCCTCAAACGTCTTTTTTCTCTAATATGACCTTTAAACATTCTTAAAAATTTAAAAAGGGAGGGCGCCTGGGTGGCTCAGTTGGTTAAGCGACTGCCTTCAGCTCAGGTCATGATCCTGGAGTCCCGGGATCGAGTCCCACATCGGGCTCCCTGCTCAGCAGGGAGTCTGCTTCTCCCTCTGACCCTCTTCCCTCTTGTGCTCTCTATCTCTCATTCTCCCTCTCTCAAATAAATAAATAAAATCTTTAAAAAAAAAAAGCTTTGATAATGCAAATCTTGAGTTACCCATAACATTATTCTATTTTAATACATAAATCTGCCCTTCCTCAGTTACCTGCTTTTCCAAATGGTGGTGGTACCCAAAGGGAAGGCCAGGAGCTCTACTCCTTTTTGTTTCCTTTAGACCATCCAGGTGACAATGTCTCAGTCTTGAAGGAGCAGCAGAAGTAATTTGTTCCCCTGTATTCCTTGTCACAAAAAGTAGCAAAGCCAGATGTTGAGTTCCCTGAACAGCACACTCCCTTCTGCATGTTAGTTAGTGTGCAGGCATGTTACCTGACACGGGAGCCTTTTTAAAGGAAGAGCTTTGGATTATCCCTGCAACAAAAAACTTGGCTCTTATGCCACCTCAGGGCACCCTGCTTACCTAGACTTGAGTGACTCATTGTTTTTTTAGTGAAGATGGATAATGTAAACACTGTCCTTTCATGCATTTCAAAATGGTCATCCAGTCTTCTTCCAGCCTTACGTTCTTTAGGATACATGGCTTCATTTCCGCATGGTGTGGATTTCTCTGGCTTCTTCCTTCAAGATCCCAAATTAGTTTCATTGGCATTTGTCTGACAAGAAATGAATGCTTTATAGATAGCAGATGCCTAGTTTCGTAATTTGGGTCAACTCTTTGTCCAGGCATTACTCCCTTTTTTTTTTTAATTTTATTTATTATGTTAGTCATTATACATTACATCATTAGTTTTTTTTTTAAGATTTTTATTTATTTATTTGATAGAGACACAGCAAGAGAGGGAACACAAGCAGGGGGAGTGGGAGAGGGAGAAGCAGGCTTCCCGCGGAGCAGGGAGCCCAACGTGGGGCTCGATCCGAGGACCATGGGATCATGACCTGAGCCGAAGGCAGACGCTTAACGACTGAGCCACCCAGGCACCCCCTACATCATTAGTTTTTGATGTAGTGTTCCATGATTCATTGTTTGCATATAACACCCAGTGTTGCATTCAATACATGCCCTCCTTAATACCCATCACTGGGCTAACCCATCCCCCCACCCACCTCCCTTCTAAAACCCTCAGTTTGTTTCTGAGTCCATAGTCTCTCATGGTTCATCTCTCCCTCCGATTTCCCCCCCTTCATTTTTCCCTTCCTACTAGCTAATTTTTTTTTTAATATAATGTGTTATTTGTTTCAGAGGTATAGGTCTGTGATTCATCAGTCTTACACAATTCACAGCGCTCACCGTAGCACGTACCCTCCCCAGTGTCCATCACCGGGCCACCCCATCCCTCTCACTCCCCTCCACTCCAGCAACCCTTAGTTTGTTTCCTGAGATTAAGAGTCTCATAGTTTGTCTCCCTCTCTGGTTTCGTCTTGTTTCATTTTTTCCTCCCTTCCCCTATGATCCTCTGTCTTGTTTCTCAAATGCCTCATATCAGTGAGATCATATGATACTTGTCTTTCTCTGATTGACTTATTCAGCTTAGCATAATACCCTCTAGTTCCATCCATGTCTTGCAAATGGCAAGATTTCCTTTTTTGATGGCTGCATAATATTCCATTGTATATATATACCACATCTTTATCCATTCATCTGTTGATGGACATCTTGGCTCTTTCTATATTACTCCTGTTTTTATCTGTGAGCCTTCTTAGACATTCAGGAAATATTACCTGATAGTACTAACATTTTAAAATTTAATCTTTTATATTAGCAAGTATGTAATGGATAGCTCTATTTAGATTTTCCTAAATCTGTATTTACTCTTTTTAAGGAAAGTGTCCACAAGTGGCAATTCTTAAATTCAGAAATGAAGTTTTAATTTTTAAAAAAAATTTTTTTAAAGAAATCTCTGTGCCTATCGTGGGGCTTGAACTCACCACCCCAAGATCAAGAGTCACATGCTCTATTGACTAAGACAGCCAGGCACCCCCAGAAATGAAGTTTTTATAAAGGAGTGGAAACCAAAAATCCCATAGCAACAGAAGCCTTGTCTGTTACAGACCTTGGAGCAATAGGCTCCTTGTTTCTAAGTTATTATTAATCATGATGATGAGTTTTGCCAAAAATCAACAAATAATTCAAAAAGATAAGTCGGGTGACACAAGAGAACACTAAAAAGATGTTTCAGTTGTTCTTTTCCAAAGATGTGTAACTTGATTCCAGAGTTTCGGTAGAAATGCTTCTCTTTGTTAAGTGTAATTAAGATGTGAACAGTAGATATTAAGTAATAGCTGTGCTTTCTAGTATCTCAGCTATTTAGAAGCTATGTGAATAAGTATATTTCTTATGGGCACAAATTGATATTGTCTCTTGCGGTGGTTAAAGTAAAATTAGTCATAAAACCTAATTCAGGTCCCCTGTTGCCTGCCTATGCAATATCTTTGTAATCATGGATAACTAGCCTGTTTACCCTGTTTGAATCTCGGTTGCTAATTTATAATAAGGAAATGGTGCTACCTTCCTCACAGGAGTGAAAGGTAGTATACAATGAGATAATACTTACGAAAGCCTTTTGTAGGCTATGGAGCAATAAACCTATATGTTAGAGGTATTATTATTCCCCAAATGGGTACTTTTAAATGTAAATTTCAGGGGCACCTGGGTGGCTTAGTCGTTAAGCGTCTGCCTTCTGCTCAGGTCATGATCCCAGGGTCCTGGGATAGAGCCCCGCATCTGGCTCCCTGCTCATCGGGAAGCCTGCTTCTCCCCCTCCCACTCCCCCTGCTTGTGTTCCCTCTCTTCGCTGTGTCTCTGTCAAATAAATAAAATCTTTAAAAAAAAATGTAAATTTCACAAATGGAGGTTGGGGGGAGGAGTGGGAAGGCCCTAAATTCTTTCAATATGGGCAGAACTAAGCTAGTGTCATTACAGAAAAAGACTTGGAAGATTGAGGATTCCAAGAAAGATGGAGAGCTTTAAAGTAAAAAAAAAAAGCAAGTGGTTGGCATAGGCCAGTTTGGATATTTACACAATATCCTCATCTTCCAAAACTGGAGGTTTGGACTTGCCTCATCTCTCTTTCTGGTTTCCCCTTGGTTCCAGTTTGCAAACCCCTTAGGCCAGGGATCCGGTTTGTCATCTGTTGATGTTGCTTGTAGACAGATCTGCATTGTGCAAGCATTGATGGGTGTCATCTGAGGGGAATTGTAGTCTTGGTCTCTAATCAGTTCAGCTATTGCTAACTTTCTCAGGCAATCCGAGTTGGTTTACAGGAAATGGGAGATATAGCCTACTACCATTAACGACTGAAGAAAAGCAGCCACAACACAAATACCTTAAAATAATAGATAATGGTCAAATCATTTCAGTTTTTAAAGTGTATCATGTTTTTTCTCCCCACCAAATTATCTTCCTGATTCTTTCGTTTTAGTTACTGTTTAAATCAGTTTTTATCCCCTGTACATGTGATATGACTGAAAAGGTGGCAAGGAAAGACGGACTTAGCTCAAAATTAACTGAGTGGCAGAGGAAAGCCAAAGATTCCGCATAATCTACGGAATGAATATAAGGAAGTAGTCGAGACTTGAGTGCATATAGAAGTAAGCAAATTCCCTGGCATATTCAAATTCTATATTCATGTGTGATTCAGTATGTTTGAGATGGGCAAGTGTGATTTTCCAGGATTACCATTTCCCCAGGGTGTTGAGAGTTCTAGTTGCTTTAATTCCAGTTTCTTCTCTGAAATTACAGCCCTTTCTGTGGCTGAAGGAAGAAGATACAATTTTAGTTTGAGATCTAGATGTGTTTTCTGAATGTGGCTCTTGCTATTTTGTATAATTTTGGCTTTCTGTGAATTAAATTTATATGTAACTTAGTCAGAATTGTATGTTCTGATAAGGAGCTAAGACTGAAATAAAACAGAACATTTTTAGTTGGTATTAGGTGGGGCGTTTACCACTTAGGACAGAACTAAGTTTATACCTTCAGTCTGTGGTATAGACAGACTATATACCAGACTATAGTATAGACAGACTATAGTATATGGTATAGACTATGGTATAGACAGACTATATACACACTGACAGTGTGTAGCCTATGATATTTAGTCCCCACATTTAGAAATTTCGTATTCACAGGCATAGATACTAACTCTCAGATTTGATGACAGTTTGTGAGAAGGCAGATATGTGGAAGTTTTGGGGACTGATTGTGTGAAAAACCTGGCTTGATGTTGGTAGCAAAACCGGTTATTGGAACAGAGATTTCTTAGATTGGTTTAACATTAATGCTGTTTATATTTCCATCTGTTTAAAATGCTAATATTTGTTCTGGCATAATATTACCTCATTCCTAGCAAAATGAATTTAAGCTATGTAATTGTCAAGTACTTCTACGTTTTTATTTTTAGGTATTTCTACCTAATCTTAAAGGAGATGATAATTAGAATGAGATGGCCTGCTTTGCCCCCTTGCTGGTGGTGGTGACTTCACAGACCATTGCTAGATGCTAAATTAGATAAATCATTTCCAGTTTAGATGTTACTTGTTTTTTAAAGAATTCCTCAGAAAATGCAACACCTTTTGAGGCAAGTTTCTGTTCTACCACACTGAACATTTGTAACACTGATGTTTTGTGTGTTTTTCAGGATTGGGACGGCTGCCCTGGCGGTTCAGGTTGTAGGCAGTAACTGGCCCAAGCCTCACTATACTTTGCTGATTACAGGCCTGTGCCGTTTCCAGATTGTACAGGTCTTAAAAGAGAAGCCATATCCCGTTGCTGAAGTGGAACAGTTGGACCGGCTTGAGGAATTTCCTAACACCTGTAAAACTAGGGAGGAGCTAGGAGAACTATCAGAACAGTTTTACAAATATGCAGTACAAGTGAGTTGCTTTTATTTTTTTTCCTTAAAAGCTCATTTTCTTCAGTTCCTTTGCTGCCCTAAGATATGATGAATTTGTTGAGTGGTGAAGTTTTAAGGCAGCGTATGTTTAAATAACTTAGTAATATAATATATTGATTTCACTTTGCTTTTGTCTAAGATTGTACCTAAGTCATTCTAGGAAAAATGAGCCAACTCTTTCTAAAATTTTTCCAAAGAGTCTTTCTAGAGCTTTCCTTATAACTTCCAGTGTCTCCAAACCAGATAGTTATTAAACCAAAATAATGTTAAAAATTAAAATACTGCACAAAAGCTATATGTCACAAGAGTCATCTAGGTAGCAAATTACATAAATTATGTTGGTTCAGAAGTCAAGGTCACACTGAGACTGGCAGTAACTTTGAAAGGTTAGGTCTATGGTAGACTGATTTCAAAGATGATTAAAGCCTTGATTAAAGCCTCGAATGTCAGGAGGGAAGCACATGTGAGGCATGCATTAAATATTTGACTTTTTAATTCTAGGTTTTAGTTTTTTTTAACTCTAGATTGACTAGAAAGCTCTTCCCCTCACCCCATTTTTTTGAAACCTTATTGAAATACATTGTAAAATGTAGTCTTCTACTTTCTGTTGATGCAATCCAGTGACTGTAACTAGGTCTGTGAGGATCAGCCAGTGTCTGAAGGTCTCAATCATTGCAAAGTGTAAGGCAAGTGTTCACAGCCTGTGGTATCTTTACCTGATGTGGCATTCGAAGCACACTCTTCTAGTGTGGTAAACAGTAGGAAAATAGAAAACTTAGAGCTCTAACTTCTGTGGGGACTAAAAGGAAGAACCTACTCTGAACAGAGACACTTCATTTTGAGAACTGGAATAAGTGATAATGCCATTGAAGAAGGAGATGGAGGGAGAATCCGAATTTTCTCTTTTTCCCCGGTAATACTCCCTGGGTCTTTGTTCTTCTGTTGGACACAGCTTCATAGAGGTTGCACTTTGCTTTTTAACTTCTCCCCACTTTGAATCAAAAGAGAAATTTTAAACATGTGAAGAATTGTAATGACATGAGTGAAATACCACCATAATTTAACTGCTGTCATGCATCTAGTTTAACTTTTGCCTTGTCTTCTGATCTCAGTCCAGTTCAGTCTTATGTTTTGTTTTCCTGTCCGTGTCTACTTTTCATATTAAGTATTTTTATAAATTTCATTGTGTTGAGATATCATAATTTTATCTTTCCTCTTTTTAGACATTGAGGTTGTTTGCAGTTAATACTTTCCTGTCACTTCCTTCTGTATTTCCTTACATAGCCGTCATCAGTAGACTTCTTCAATAGCTTCCTGACTAATCTCTTTCTGGTTTTCTTTTCTCTCTGACTCATCCTGTTCACTGAGCCTTTCTAAGGAAGTTTTGGGCCTGCCTCTCCCCTGAGAAAAAGACTTTAATGGTGATAGGATAAAGTTAAATTTTCTTGGAATAACATTAAGGCCCTTCCCAACTCTATTTAATCCCATTTATACCCATCATTTTAGTTACATTGTCCGTCAGAGAGCTTCACATCTTGTTGTTTCATGTCCCTGTGATTTTGTCCCTTCTGTTCTCTCTGCTGGGAGTGTTCTTCCTTCTCTCAGTTTTTAGACTGATGCTTTCCCAACTCCTGTTAGCTCTTTTTTTTTTTTCCCCATCATCAATATTTATTGAGCATTTACAATGTATTAGGCACAATAGAACATACAGAAAACATTGTCCCCGCTCTTGAGGAGCTTACATTCTAAAAGAAAAAAAAATACACCTCTTTTAAAATGGTATTTTTGTTTGGTGTTTTCTGCAAGGTACTGAGGAAATAGTCTGGGGGTGAGCCTTGGGTATAACTTAGCCCCATCATTATTTAAAGAGAGGAAGAGGAAGGATTTTAAAGGCAGACAATGACAGACCATTCAGGATAGGTAGGGCTTACAAGGAGATAAACACAATCTCATCAACTTAGGAGAGATTTGCTCCAGTAAATAGGATGAGGGAAATAGTTTGTGGGATGCAAGCAAAGGAAGCAAGGTATCCTTAGACATTGAGTGGAGCCAGAAAGATCATGTGGCCTTTTTTCCAAGTACAGGGCCACCAAGTAGGAATGGTTGGTGACAAGACAGAAGGCTAAAAAAGGTAATCCTGTGCTCCTTTTCCTGTGCTTCCACAGTCCTTTATGCATCCCTTTTAATATGATGCTTATCACATTGTATTGAAATTTACCTTATAGGTCTGTTTTCTCTACCAAACTTGAATTCATCCCTGCTTTAGCCGTCCCCTACTGAGCAGTATGTTGTGTCTATCAAGCAGTTTGTGCTCAGTAAGTGCTTGGAGAACAAGTTTTAGCTGTTTTATTTTCTTAGGATGAATTCTTAGGAGAAAGAGTCTCTAAATTTTATTATCTACTTCTCCCACCTGAATAGCTTCATCATGACTGCGCTTTCATTCCCTTGACTCTAGGCAGGCAATGGATAGGTTCCTAAATTACAGTGCCTTCAGAGAGGCTTGATTAGTATTGGCATCAGAAATCTTTTTAGAGTGACTAAATAAGGCACATCATTTGTGAATTAGTCAGTATGGGCGAAGCTTTGCTGTTTTAAGTACTCCCAGAATCTCAGCATACATTATAACAAAGGTGTATTTCTCATTCATGCTTTATACCTAAAACTAGAGAGTGTGGTGATCTACCTGTTAGAGTCACTTAGGGACAGGAGGATTAGAGATTCATCTCAAAACATATATTCATTATTGCTGAGGCTGGAAAAGGAAATGTGGCAAATCTCAATGGTTTTTAATGCTTCTGCCCAGAAGGAACTGTCGCTTCCCCTCATGTTTCATGGATCAAGGCAAGAATCATAGCCCCATTTGTATTCAGAGGAGGTGAGAAAGAGCAGTCCTGCCATGTGCCCAGAAGAAGAGGAGAACTTTTGTCAACAACCCCAATGATTAGCATAGTTACTGAAAGCTTGCTTTGAACTTAATGTGTCTTAACTCCAAGATATATCCTGGATATTGTTTTTATAAAAATCATTCACAGTCAGTGCTCAGATTCTCGTTAATCCAAATGTTTTACTAAACAGTATTTCAACTACTCATTGGTTAGCATAAGAGCATCGACTCTATTAAATTTCCAGAATTTGGTAATTACACTGTGATTATGTAAGAGAATACCTTTGTTCTTAAGAACAAGGGTCATGATATATGCCACTTACTCTAAAATGTTCAGCAACAACTTGGTTGTTTGTACGCGTGCATGCTTAGAAAAACCACATGTGGCAGAATATTAATAATTGGTGAATTTAGGGGAAGGATAGGAGTTTATTGTACTATTGCAACTTTTCCATAACTTTTAATTTTTTTCAAAACAAAATCATAAATTTACAGAGCCTTTTAAACATTCATATTATCCACATTTGAGCCACTTTTGCCTTTCAATTCTGATTGATATTTTGAATGTATTTTTTTTTTCTTCTGAGACCTGTAAAATGCCTGGACTATAGTAATCAGTGATCTTTCAGAAACAAAGACTCTGAGGCCCAAACTTTAAACCTATATGCCAGTCTGTATTTTGAATTCACAAATAATGCCAGATTTCATTAAAAAGACTTCTTTATCCTTGCAGTTGGTTGAAATGTTAGATATGTCTGTCCCTGCAGTTGCTAAATTGAGACGCCTTTTAGATAGTCTTCCAAGAGAAGCTTTACCAGACATTCTGACTTCAATTATCCGAACGAGCAACAAAGAGAAGCTCCAGGTACAGTATTCCCTTCTTAAATACTGAGTTGTTTTGTCAGTTTTTATTCAAAATAATAAATTTTGACCTTCAGTAAGAGATACTAGAGATGCATAAAAGTAGTTAAAATGCTCTTATGCTGAAATTGACTATTAAAAGTGATTCCTTTACATTTTTGTATATTCAGGCAGCTCTTTTATTCACATTATCAGTACTAGTAGTTTGTCAATTTATGGAAAAAGTTAAAGTGGAGAATAATTTTAAAAATGGTAAATATTTAACTTAAAAAATAAATATATTTTGTCTGTTTTTTAAACTTGTGGAGCTGTGACCTTTTCTTTGTGTATTGCCTGCCTTACTAGAATTCTTCATGATGTTTCTTACATAAAGCATACCTATGATGCATTATCTATGATTTTCAATTTATTTCTGTAAAGTGAAATGTGTTGTAAAGACACTGAAAAATGCAGAATCTTAGATTTGCATGTTTTTTCCCAAAACTGTAAGTTTTCTTGCATACTAATTTTTATAGTGTTTTTAAGCAGTCTGCTTTATTAAATCTCCCTAGAACATGTAAGTTAGTTTTCATTGAAACCTTCATTTTATCAGTTTATTTAATACTTTTATCACAGTTATGTCTTAGCAATTGTGTAGCAAATCTAACAAATTATAATAGCAAGTGCACCTGACAGGTGTATAAACACCTTACTCTAAACACAAGAATGCCGCACAACTGGTAGGAGCAGAAGAGCGCAGGAGTACCAGAGGGTAAGCTGGCTGTGGGCATCAGCAGGGATGTTTGAGAGAATGGAGAGCATTAGTTACTCCCATCACTAATGGTCGTTGGTTAAAAGTGCTCCTACTCTTTCATGGATGTGAAAATTTAATATTTTGAACCTAGAATTTGTTTAGGCCTAATATGTAGACACATTCTGTGTTTTAAGAGAATAAGTCACAGAAAGAGTTGACATTAAATGTGTGTTTTGTTCTTGCTGTTGGAACAATACACATGGCTTCATTTTTAAATGAGAAGTCAAGATGCTTTTTCTCTTTTTTAGGATTCTAGTGATTTAATATAGTTAATCTGGTTGTATTGGCCATAACGTAGCTGTGAATATTGATGTATTTTTTACTTAACAATTTAAGTCATGACCTGACTGCATTGTTTTGGGAGCATGTGTTTCTGAGAGATTCTACTAACTGACTCATGTTCCCTTAGATTTTAGATGCGGTGAGTCTAGAGGAACGGTTCAAGATGACCATACCGCTGCTCGTCAGACAAATTGAAGGCCTGAAATTGCTTCAGAAAACCCGAAAACACAAGCAAGATGATGATAAGCGGGTAAATATTTCTTTCAATCTACTTCTTTACGTTTCCGGTTGTTTTTATGTGATGTGAGATTCAGTTTTTTTGAAGTAAAAAAAAATTGGGGGAATGAAGAAAGGAACAAAACAAAAACTTCATTGTCTCTTACCACTCAAGTTACTGATAAAATTCTGAATTCAGTATGTTTTTCTAGTCCTTTTCCATGTCTGGGTTTTTCTTTTTTTAAAAACGTGGTAATATTTTCTCACTTTTTGCTCTTGGTAATTTTTGGTTCATCATCAAAAGGGATAATGTACTAAGCCATTTCTCTTTTGCCAGACATTGTGTGTTGTTTCTGATGTTTTCTATATTTTAAAAATTAACAACTGATGAGTGTCTTTGAAAATAAGGGGATGGTTGTATATCTCATGTTTCCTTTTTTTTTTTTAAGTTTTTATTTAAATTCCATTTAGTTAACATACACTGTAATATTAGTTTCAGGTGTACATTATAGTGATTCAACACTTCCACACATCACCCAGTGCTCATCACAACAGGTGTGCTCACTCCTTAATCCCCATCACCTATTTCATCCATCCCCCCCACCTGGTAACCATCAGTTCTCTGTAGTTAAGAGTCTGTTTCTTGGTTTTCCTCTCTTTTTTTTTCCCCTTTGCTCAGTTATTTTGTTTCCTAAATCCCACATATGAGGAAAATCACATGGTATTCGTCTTTCTCTGGCTGACTTATTTCGCTTAGCATTATTCTCTCCAGCTCCATCCATGTCATTGCCAGTGGCAAGATTTCATTCTTTTTTTATAGCTGAGTAATATTCCTCTGTGTGTGTGTGTGTGTGTGTGTGTGTGTGTGTGTCTATACACACCACAACTTCTTTATCCATTGATCGATCAATGGACACTTGGGCTGTTTCCATAATTCGGCTGTTGTTAAGTAATGCTGCTATAACCATCAGAGTGCACTTTTCCCTTTGAATTAATATTCTTGTATTCTTTGGGCAAATACCTAGTAGTGCAATTGCTAGATCATAGGGTAGTTCTATTTTTAACTTTTTGCACAACCTCCATACTGTTTTCCACAGTGGCTGCACCAGTTTGCATTCCCACCAGTAGTGCATGAAGGTTCCTTTTTCTCCACATCCTCACTAATACTTGTTGTTTCTTGAGTTTTTGATTCTAACAGGTGGGAGGTGATATCTCATTATAGTTTTGATTTGCATTTCCCTGATGATCAATGAAGTTGAGCACCTTTCCGTGTTTCTGTTGGCCATCTGTTATGTCTTCTGTGGAAAAATGTCGACTCATGTCTTCTCATGTTTTAATTGGATTGTTTTTTGGGTGTTGAGTTTTCTAAGTTCTTTCTAAGTTCTTTATGTATTTAAGATACTAACCATTTATCAGATTTATCATTTGCAAATATCTTCTCCCATTCCATAGGTTGCCTTTTAGTTTTGTTAATTGTTTCCTTCATTGTGCAGAAGATTTTTATCTTGAAGTAGTCCCAGTAGTTTATTGTTGCTTTGTTTACCTTGCCTCAGGAGCCATATCTAAGAAGAAGTTGCTACAGCCGATGTCAAAGAGGTTACTGCCTATGTTCTCTTCTAGGATTTTTATGGTTCAGGTCTCACATTTAGGTCTTTAATCCATTTTGAATTTATTTTTGTATGTGGTATAAGAAAGTAGTCCAGTTCCATTCTTTTGCATGTTACTGTCTGGTTTTCCCAATACCATTTGTTGAAGAGACAGTCTTTTTCCTATTAGCTATTCTTTCCTGCATTTTCAAAGATTAATTGACCATATTGTGGGTTCATTTCTGGGTTTTCTATGCTGTTCCATTGATCTATGTGTGTTTTTGTGCCAGTACCATACTGATTTGATCATTACAGCTTTGTAATGTAACTTGAAGTCCCAAATTGTGATGCCTCCAGCTTTGCTTTGCTTTTTCAAGGTTGCTTTGGCTATTCCGGGTCATTTGTGGTTCCATACAAATTTAAGATTGTTCTAGCTCGGTGAAAAAAAGTGCTGTTGATATTTTGATAGGAATTGCATTAAATGTGTAGATTGCTTGGGTGGTATAGGTATTTTAACAATATTTGTTCTTCCAATCCATGAGAATGGAATGTCTTTCCATTTCTTCGTGTCATCTTCAATTCCTTTCATCAGTGCATAGTTTTCAGAGTACAGGTCTTTCACCTCTTTGGTTAAGTTTATTCCTATGTATCTTACAGTTTTTGGTATAGTTGTAAATGGAATTGACTCCTTAATTTCTCTTCCTGCTGCTTCATTATTGGTGTGTAGAAATGCAACAGATTACTTTACATTGATTTTGTTTGTACTGTACATTGTTTCATTATTGGTGTGTAGAAATGCAACAGATTACTGTACACTGATTTTGTTCTCTGTGACTTTACTGAATTCATTTTTCAGTTCTAGCAGTTTTTTTTTGGTGGAGTCTTTCGGGTTTTCTATATATAGTATCGTGTCATCTGCAGATAATGAAAATTTTACTTCTTCCTTGCCAATTTGGATGCCTTTTATTTCTTTTTGTTGTCTGACTGCTGTGGGTAGGACTCATGTTGAGTAAAAGTGGTGAGAGTGAACATCCCTGTCTTGTTCCTGATCCTAGAGGAAAAGCTCTCAGTTTTTCCCCATTGAGGATGATGTTAGCTGTGGGTTTTTCATGTATGTACTTGATTATGTTGAGGTATGGTCCTTCTAAACGTACTATGTTGAAGGTTTTTATCATGAGTGGATGTTGTACTTTGACAAATGCTTTTTCTGCATCTATTGAAATGTTCTCTGTTTTTTTAATGTAGTATTAAGAACATACTAGAAAATTGGACTGTGTCACTATGCTGTGCCGTAATTTAGCTGACTTTTTTGTTTTTAACTTATAAAAATTTTTATTTTCATTTAGTCCAACTGTGCTAGTCTTTTTCTATCTTCTAAGCTTTAGAGTCCTCTATCCCCCAGTGATTTGAGAAATATGCACTTTCAGTTTACCTTTAGCAAGGATTTTTAAAAAGTATTTAACTCTTTAACCCATATGTAATTTATTTTGCCCTAAAGTGAAGAGAGCAGTTGTTTTTTGTCCCAAATAGCTTTTTATTTAATTCAACACTATTGTGAATAATTCTTCACTTCGCCATTGATTTGCAATACCTTCATTATCATACATGACATTTATATGGGGTCTGTCTGAAGTCTCCCTTAAGCTATCAATTTTACTATTGTTATGTGTGGGCAGAGTTAAGATCAAGAAAATATATTTGATGTGGGCAAGAGTGTAAATGGCAGGTCTCTGAAGGCCATTGGAAAGTAAGTGAAAGGTTGAGAATAATGTTAGAGACCTAATGGTCATCAACATAGAAGTGTTCCTTCATCAAAGAGAATACATTGTAGAGAGAGAAGAGCAAGGTAAAGGATTCCTTACCAGTGGGACTAAGGAAGGAGCATCAAAGTAGGCTGGAGGAGAGTGATGACAGAGACAGGAATAGCCTGTCTGGTGTTTCTATTTCAGGACATTATGCTGTTTCAAACAAATAGCAGAAATCTGAATTACTTCTGATTTGAGATCAGATCATTAATTTAGTTATCCATTTTGTGCAGAAAGACAAAGCAAGGCACACTCCGTGTTGGGAGGCACAGAAACTGCAGCTTATTATCAATAAATACTACCACTGCTTAAATAGAAAGGTGTTCAGAATCATTCCAGAAAATGATCAAACAGGCGACAGCTATGAAAATGTAGGAATCAGAGGATAATATTTGGAGTTAAGCCTAGAACCTTCTCTGCCTATTCCTTAAGAGTTGAGAAGTCTCTTTAGTAGCTGGAAGAAAAAGATTGCATAAAAATATACTTATGTCTCAGTGATGAAATAATTGATGTGCTTTTTAAAACTCATTTAAATTTTTTTTATTTTCAGTTTTTCATACTTCAGAATATTAATTTTATCTGCTAATGAGTTATGTAGAATAAAAGTATAGAATTTAATATTTCTGTTTTTATAAAATTGCTTTATTTACTGCCTTATGTTTTTAACTTTTTATATTTGAATGTAGTAAATAGATAATAATAATACTTTAAAAAATAAATTCCCATGCTTTTAAATGAATACCAGTGTATCATTTTGCTCCAGTGGTGGCTGGTGTTGATTCATGATATTACTGAGTTGAGAATTTCAAATGAACACTTTGGAAGTTTTAAAATCTGATAGAGAAGTTGTGGAGAAAGAGAACACAAATAAAGCCATTATACTTGGCAAAGAGGATCGTTGTTGGATTTCAGAGAGCAATTTCAACATAATGGAGACAAAAGCCAAAGTATGAAGTACAGATTATTGAAGTACTCAAGGAGGAAAGGGAAGTGGTGGTCAAAGCCACTTGTTGGAAAAGCAGAACATCAGAAGAAGGGAAGTAAACAGTGTGTAGTTAACGGAAAGGGACATAGGTAAGATCAGATATTTTGAAAGGAGGAAGTCTTTTCCATGTGTTGGAGACAAAAGAGAATAGAGTCAATGGTAGAAACATTAAAGATGTTAGAAATTTTGTACTGTAGGAGGGAAAGTGGAATTTATTCTGTTGGCAGTTGCTAAGTAGTAATATAATCAAGAAGGTAGTGGCTGCAGTAGTAGCTGAAAGAAAGGTATTCCTAGATGTTTTCATTATTTTTAGTAGCCAGTTCTTCCATTTTTTTCTCATATTGTTGTATAAGCATATAGTAAAATAATGCCCACTTTATGTTGATCCACTTTTGAAATTCTGCTGCTTTTATATGCTTGTGCCTCTTAGTTATCATTTTGAACTTAGTTCCTAAAGATGTAGACTCTAATTTTGAAAATGTTACTCAGCACCAGGTATAACCTTGTGTGTAACTAGGTACCTCATTTCCAGTTTATTTTGACAGACAGTTTTATTCTTCTGTCTCTATTTTAGGTTATAGCAATACGTCCTGTTAGGAGGATTACACACATCCCAGGAGCTTTAGAAGACGATGGCGAGGACGAAGACAATGATGACATTGTCATGCTAGAGAGAAAAGTACGAACATCCAGTATGCCAGAGCAGGCCCATAAGGTCTGTGTCAAAGAGATAAAAAGGTAAATTGACCCTAAAAAGAAGCTATTCACTCATTGGTATATTCATTTTGCATATTAATGTTAAAAATTGTTGCTCGTGGAAACTCGAGTCTGCTTCTTTGGATCACAAACTGAAAGCCGAGTTATTTGTTTTATGTTCTTTGACCTTTCTCCTTTTCTTCTATTTCATATAGGCATAGACCACTCTATTAATAATTTTATCTTTCCAGTGTCAATTTTTACCTCTCATTGCTTTCCACATTCTCAGATTATAGCTGTGATCTGTGGAATCTTTAGATTATCCCTCTTCATTCCTCAACCAGAATCTGATTTTTAAAACATTCTTAATACTCCTGAGTTAATACCAGTGTCCCTAATCTTTTTCTGAGTTGCTGTGTATAAGTGATGCAGTTCTTCCACCTACAGTGTACTGTCAAATGTGACCACTGTTGTTCACTGCCTTTTTATTGTCTTAATGAATGGGTTGTGCTTTGTTTAGACACAGTGTTTGTTCAGTTACCACTGTGTTCTTCACATGTCACTTATTTCTTCTTTAGAAAAAAGATTGTAAACTCTAGAGGGCAGGGACTGTCAGTTTCTCTTTGTATAAGGTAAAGTACACAGAAACCTTGATGACAGCATAGGATATATGGATAATCTCAGGGTTAAATAGAACACCAGTATTTTCTTTCTGTACTTGACACAGTATAACTGTGTTGCATTTTCTTTTATTGGTAAATTATAATGAACCTAAGTGAATGCTCAGTAATTAAAGATTTGACTTTCTCAGGTTCACAGTTAAGGACATGAGTTGTAGTTCAGGGATATTTTATATTGACTGGCATTAATTAATAAATGTAGAACATCTTTTGTGGGCAGAACACTTCGTTAAACGCTGCATTTATTATGGAAGTTGCATCTTTTAATTAAATAATCTGATATTAGCTTGCTTGTATGAGCTGATTTCATCTCTGATACAAAAAAATATATATAATTATTGTGTTATGCATGGTTAGGCACTTAAATCTTACTGTGATAGGTATATCAATGGATAAGTATGACTTGAGATCCCCTCTGTGAGATACTGATACTGGTAAAGTCATATTTCAAGGATAGAATCTGATATAGTGTTCCTTTCCCCACCCCACCCCTGCCCCCTCCAGTTTGCAGGTATTTGTTTTAATTTTGTTCCATAAGTACATCATAAAACAATATAACCAGATTTTTAAAAACATTTCCAGATTTTTTAATATGCATGATATATCTGACCCAGAAAGGCAGATGCTGGATTTTTGTGTTTTTAGGGAATTCTTCTATGTTATGGAACATTTTTGCTGTGTATTCTTTCCCCACAGACTCAAAAAAATGCCTCAGTCAATGCCAGAATATGCTCTGACTAGAAATTATTTAGAACTTATGGTGGAACTTCCTTGGAACAAAAGTACAACTGGTAAGCCAACAAAATAACACCATTTTACAGGCTGATTGTTACTCAGAAAGCTCATGCAGATTCTATTGAAATACTCACCATTGATTATCTTACTGTTACTATAGTTCTTGACATAAATTATTTAGATGCTGAACTTGTATCATCTAAGTCTTGGGACCAAACAGGAAAAGAAGGTGCTACATGAAAGTGCCTTTTGCCTGATTTTGGAGAAAATAGGATTTTCTATGATTGTTGATAGATGTGTTTCTTAATACCAGTAGTCAATCAGATGATGAACATTTATATTTAAAGAAATAGTTACATATAGCTGTATAACAGAACAGTTGTACCATTTGGAAGTTTGTTTTTCTCATGCAAAAACCTATTAAATGAGTTTAAATTCTATCTTTCGGTAGAACTTTTCTCTTTCCTGTGGATTTGCTCTTTTCTCTTGTGATGAGAAATACTCTGTTGACTCTCACAATTTTTAGAACCATTTATTTGTACCTGTTTCTGTTATTGGACAGGCTAGTATTATAGGTTGGTATTACACACAAGGTTTACTGAGTTCAACAGTGGATTGATTGCCTGAACTACTGCTGGCATAGGAGTAGCTATATGGTGGACTTTTGAAAATTTAAAGATGCATTATCCTGGCTAGTAAAATTCCTACATTTAAGAATATGCTAGAGGGGCACCTGGGTGGCTCAGTCGTTAAGCGTCTGCCTTCGGCTCAGGTCATGATCCCAGAGTCCTGGGATCGAGCCCCGCATCAGGCTCCCTGCTCCGCGGGAGGCCCGCTTTTCCCTCTCCCACTCCCCCTGCTTGTGTTCCCTCTCTCGCTCTCTGTCAAATAAATAAATAAAATCTTTAAAAAAAAAAAGCTAGAGATTTTTAAAAAATATTACCTCTAAAGCACACATTTATGCCCCACGTAAGATATGCTGTACAAACCACATTTCCAGTTGTTGAATTTTTAATATTAAAAAATACTTGCCTATTAACCTACAGAGGACCATCCTTTCTGGTACTGAGAACTTAAAAAAAAATTGTTTTTGTCTCCTAGAGGGCCCAGAATGAAGCACATTCGTGTTAAATTAACTATGCTGGGACAATGTTAAGGTTAAAATAGCTCCTCTTTTTTAAACAATGTTATACATCAAGTTTATTTTTAAAAGAATACATAATCCAGATTAAATATAAATCTTGTCAAGCCATTATATGATTTAGCAGGTTCTAAATTCCATGGAAAATGACCATATAGTCCCTGATTGTAATAAAACTAAGAAATCTTACTTAATATACTATTTGTATAATACAAATTATTATTATTCAATAAGATATTTATAAGAATGATAAGTTATTTTTAAAATACAATTAACTGCAAGAACCTTTCTGGGGGAAAAACTGAAGGAGTACTGCAGTTGGACTTTGCCATTTTTAATCCACAAACATTTAAATCTTACCTTAAAGACAGCATTAAATATGTGATCTCCTATGCTACAAAGGTTTTTCAACAAGAATCTCAGGAGGAACAGCCTAATGCATTAACTTGAATCTAGTTTGATCATTTACTCTCCTCCCCCCCATTCTTTACATTGAACACTAAATTGAATGCATTAATCTTTTCTGCTTCTAATGTATATGCTACATTTTTTCTTTGACCTTTGCTGTCCTGAAGCAGCAATATTAAATTCTCTTTTTTTTCAAATTACAATTTTACATGACCATTTATCAGGTGTACGTTAGAGGATAGTGTGGTTTTTAGAAATGCCATTTGCTATATGCTGTCTGTTATCTCTGTTTTGTTTTGATTTTATTTAGATTCAATTACCCAACATATAGTACATCATTAGTTTCATATGAAGTGTTCAGTAGTTCATCAGTTGCATATAATACCCAGTGCCCATCACATCATGTACCCTCCTTAAGGCCCATCACCCAATTATCTCGTTCCCCCAACCACCTCCCCTCTAGCAACCCTCAGTTTGTTTCCTATAGTTTAGAGTCTCTCATGGTTTGTCTCCCTCTCTGATGACTTCCCATTCAGTTTTACCTCCCTTCCCCTATGATCCTCTGTGCTGTTTCTTATATTCCACATGAGTGAAACCATATGGTAATTGTCTTTCCCTGATTGACTTCGCTCAGCATAATACCCTTCAGTTCCATCCACGTTGATGTAAATGGTAAGTATTCATCCTTTCTGATGGCTGAGTAGTATTCCAGTGTATATGTGTACCACATCTTCTTTATCCATTCTTCTATTGATAGACATCTTGGCTCTTTCCACAGTTTGGCTGGCTATTGTGGACGTTGCTGCTATAAGCATTGGGGTGCAGGTGCCTCTTTGGATCAATACATTTGTATCTTTGGGATAAATACCTAGTAATACAGTTGCTGGGTCGTAAGGTAGCTCTATTTTTAACTTCCTGAGGAACCTCCATACTGTTTTCCAGAGTGGCTGTACCAGCTTGCATTCCCACCAACAGTGTAAGAGGGCTCGCCTTTCTCCACATCCTCGCCAACATTTGTTGTTTCCTATCTTGTTAATTGGAGCCATTCTCACTGGTTTGAGGTGGTATTTCATTGTGGTTTTGATTTGTATTTCCCTGATGTTGAGTGATGTTGAGCACTTTTTCATGTGTCTGTTAGCCATTTGTATGTCTTCTTTGGAGAAAAGTCTGTTCGTGTCTTCGCCCATTTCTTGACTGGATTATTTGTTTTTTGGATGTTGAGTTTGATAAGTTCTTTATAGATCTTGGATAATAGCCCTTTATCTGATATATCACTTGCAAATAATCTTCTCCCATTCTGTAGGTTGCCTTTTAGTTTTGTTGACTGTTTCCTTTGCTGTGCAGAAGCTTTTTATCTTGATGAAGTCCTAATAGTTCATTTTTGCTTTTGTTTCCCTTGCCTTTGGAGACTTGTCTAGCAAGAAGTTGCTGTGGCTGAGGTCGAGGAGGTTGCTGCCTGTGTTGTCCTCGAGGATTTTGATGGATTCCTGTCTCACATTTAGGTCGTTTGTCCATTTTGAGTTTATCTTTGTATATGGTGTAAGAAAATGGTCCAGTTTCATTCTTCTACATGTGGCTGTCCAATTTTCCCAGCACCATTTATTGAAGAGACTGTCTTTTTTCATTGGATCTTCTTTTCTGCTTTGTCGAAGATTGGTTGACCATAGAGTTGAGGGTCCATTTCTGGGCTCTCTGTTCTGTTCCACTGATCTGTGTGTCTGTTTTTGTGCCAGTAGCATACTGTCTTGATGATGACAACTTTGTAGTAGAGCTGGAAGTCCAGCATTGTGCTTCCACCAGCCTTGGTTTTCTTTTTCAACATTCCTCTGGCTATTTGGGGTCTTTTCTAGTTCCATACAAATTTTAGGATTATTTGTTCCACTTCTGTGAAAAATGTCAGCAGTATTTTGATAGGGATTGCATTGAATGTGTAGATTGCTCTGGGTAGCATAGATATTTTAACAATATTTATTCTTACAGTCCATGAGCGTGGAATGTTTTTCCATTTCTTTGCATTTTCCTCAAATTCTTTCCTGAGTGTTCTATAGTTTTCTGAGAACAGATCCTTTACCTCTTTGGTTAGGTTTATTCCTAGGTATCTTATGGTTTTGGTGTAATTGTAAATGGGATCGATTCCTTAATTTCTCTTTCTTCTGTGTCATTAGTGTATTGAAATGCAAGTGATTTCTGTGTGTTGATTTTATATCCTGCTACATTGCTGAATTCCTGTATGAGTTCTAGGAATTTTGGGGTGAAGTCTTTTGGTTTTTCCACATAAAGTATCATGTCTGAGAAGAGTGAGAGTTTGACTTCTTTGCTAATTTGAATGCCTTTTTTTTTTTTTTGTCTGCTGAGGCTAAGACTTCTAGTACTATGTTGAACAACAGTGGTGAGAGTAGGCATCCCTCGTGTTCCTTGGGGAACCTTAGGGAAAAAGCTCTCAGTTTTTCCCTGTTGAGAATGATATTTGCTGTGGGCTTTTCATGTATGGCTTTTGTGATACTGACGTAATTTCCCTCTGTCCCTACACTGTGAAGAGTTTTAATCAA